AAATGATAGTCCCCCAAGGCACCAAACTCAACCAATTGCGCGCTCTGGTCCGCAAGAATCGCGCTGAGATACTCGGTGACACCGTTTCTGGTACCGCGGCTTCTGCTTCGGTGCCGCTACTTCCAACGTTGGTTCTGCCGCCACGAGGGCTACCGACACCGCGTCCCAGGCCGCTCAGGACGCCTTTGACAAGGCCGTCAATTCCTGGTCTGATAGCCGTCTAAAAGGTTATCTGGATGCTCGTGGGGTGGTATGTAGCTTCATTTCACTGGTCAATAATCATACTAACGCATTCACAGCCTGTCCCCCAGGGCTCAAAGACCGACGAGCTGCGCGCTTTGGTCCGCAAGCACTCCCATAAGGCCGCCTCAGGCTGGACTGCCTGGACCTGGGACGACCTGAGCCTAGACAACATCCGCGGCTACATTGCCTCGAGCGGTAACGCTGCGGCTAAGAAGGTCTCGGACAAGACGAGTGCGACGCGCGACGAACTGGTCGACGCCGCGCAGTCCGCCTACCTCTCGGCATCCTCTGCCGGCGGCGGCTCTTACGCCTCGGCTACCAGCTTCCTCACCAAGGCAACCGACACCACCAAGGCCGGACTATTTGACACATGGAGCGAGAGCGAGCTGAAAGCGTACCTAGATAGCTACGGCATCCCGGCACCGCAGGGGTCTGAAATTAACGAGCTGCGCGCCCTTGCCCGCCGCCAGTACACGTACTTCAAGTACGGCACCACCTCCCCGACCGAGACCCTCTTTGCCAAGGTCCGCGAGAATGTCCAAAGCGGCTGGGATTGGGTCGCCGGTCAGCTGCGCCTCGGCTCCGATGCCGCCAAGAAGAAGGCCGAGGAGGCCGAGGCTGAGGGGAGGCGCAAGGCGGAGAAGCTGCATAAAGAACTCTGATTCGCACGCAACTTGCCTGTTGGATTGCCATGGTAAGGGGGCCAGATGGGGCACTAGTCCTATCTAGACCGATATCATCATCATGGAGTGGGGTGATGTCGTGGTATTTGTAAGTGAAAAATGCTGTGACGACGGGTGGGGAGACGGAGGGAAGAAAGCATTGCTGGTGGCTTTTACGAGATTATGAGGAAGGATGAAATTGGGTTTCCAGGAAGTTCTGGTAGACGCCTGCTCTCTCCTGGTTCTACATTTGCCGTGCTTGGAGAAGTAGCGTTAGCTCACGTTGGCCGGAGTCAAGTTATTTGCGAGGTAGTCGTTGATTTTATCTGATTTTATTTGATTTATCCCTGAGCATGTTGAGAAGGTGAATGTGCTAGGTGTGAGGTATGAGCAGGTTTATGAAACCATGAATGTTTTAAGATTGGGGAGTGAGCAATGTTTTTTCTAACCGTTGAATACTAGGGGTTTGATTGCTGTTTTTAGGGGCAGGCAATAGGTAAGGTACCTATGTGGCCGTGATCGAGCCCGGGCTATATCCATAGGTAGGATGCGTTGTGGCAGTCTCATCTCAACAGATCGCGGTAGACCATCCCTGGCGCGAGACCCCCAATGATCGGGGGCGAGTGAGTGTTAGTCGAGTGGCATTGCCAGAGAGAGATATGTTTGTTACTGCGGCTTGCATCCTCGATATATTCACGATATTTCAAACCTGGAGACACTATGGCCCGGGTTTACCAGAGAGAAGAACAGCTGTAAGTTCGTGATTCGGCTGCCTCTCGAAGATTATCTAGTATCATATTCGTGAAGAAACATGCACACCCAGACTTTACTATTCAGCCTTGTGAGGTGGGAAGGCAGATATGATTGCTCGGCGTCGACTTAGGGGCTCATACCTACTACGCTGATAACCAAACCACCGAAACATTGAAAGCTCGGTAGCAAGGCCGAGCAGGCATCCGAGGGGCTCTTTCTGGCCTTCTTTTTTTTTTCCTTTTTCTTTCTGTCACTAAGCATTGGACATCAAGTCGAACCAGATTCCGAGTCAAGGCAGCGCCCACCCGTGGGTAGGTAAACCGCAGCATGGCCGTTTCGCTTAGGACTACCACATTAAGTGCCAACTTATTTATTCATTGTCGACCTTCCTAAACTGTAGTTCAACGCGCCGCCCGGGCGTGCTACAAGGCCCGGAACCCGGTTCATCCGGCGACAGGAGGATTGTATCCCCTGGCGCCTCCGGCATACCGAGTCTGAGTGAGCGCTGAAAGGCCCTTCGCTGCAATGTTATGTCGCACGGCGTGTATGGCGCTTATTCTGGTAAGGGCTATGTATGCAGAGAACAAGAGTTGAAGAAGCGAAACGCCAAGAGGCTAGATCGAGTAAATGCTGAACACTTCGGATGGTCGTGAAACGGGGGCTCCTGTGATACAAGCGTGACACGAGACTGACTGGCTCTAGCCGAGACAGGATCACTTAGAATGCAAAGGAGGCACTACAGCGTCACCCTCCGCGCCGCCTGGGTTACCGTGGGCCGCAAGATTACCACAAGATTGGGTCGGGCCACCCAGTCGTGCCCCCCTCAGGAGGCTTGATCTGTCGCTGATGCATCGTGCACCACGGGCGCAGGGACTCGCGGCAGCCACACACGGCACATCGCACGGCAGCCATGCGGCGCATGCAGCCCCGACATGCTGCAGTATCACCCGGGCGGGAGTCGGGACCGACGGGATGGAATTCTCAGGCGGTGTCGGCTTGCATGAAATGCCGTCTGCTGGGAACGTATGCAGGATCGAGTTTAAGAAACTGACCTCCCGGCGGCCTCCCGGGTGGTGCTTATCCTGCATGTAGCGTGCACCGCGCCGCGCATTCTGCGTCTGGGGAGCGAATCGCGTCAAAGCCCAGTCGAGAAGCGCCTCTACCCCGGTTCCGAATGCCCGGGACTGGGTGTGGAGGTGAAACTTTGTTTCGATTCTGGATCTGTCTCTGCTTTCATCCCATCTTGGTAATTTCATCCCATCTTAGCCATCAGCCTCGAACAGGAAGAGATGGGCTTGATTATATCCGGTGGCAGGCGGAGTAAACCCCGACTGTTGATGTGATACGACCACCATGCTCGTACCCAGAACGCCCAGGAACAGACCACCGGTTTGCAAGCTGTCGAGGTTGAAATCGATGTGGTCACATGCAATCCGATGAGCGAATTTACTGTAGTCGGCTGGCTAAGGTACCAGGCAGAACGAGGGTGGCTAAACGTCTTGTTGCGGGTTTTAGGTTGAGAACTGGAGTCCAAGTTCGAGGACGACGTGGTATTTTGGCCGTGCTGCCTGGGGGCCTTCCAAATTCGTGCCAATATTTCCCCAAAGATAGCACCTGACTGGATCGCTAAACAGGCGGGCCCGGTGGTTGATCCGCTCGCTATTTCCCAACTGAGACAAGTCAGGTCCGCCTTGCCGACGAGAGAGAAACCGGAATTGACAACTTCCTTCTCAAACCCTCATCCAACTCTCGCAGTCAACAAACCCCCAAAAATGCTTGCCACCCCGGTTTGTCGTATGTGCCTCTCTCAGGACGCCGCAGATTCCGGGGGGCCGTGGGCGCAGGAGCTTTGTTCTCCCCCGCCTGTCATCAAACTGCTGCGGCTTCTTGGGGTTGAGTGGCCCACTGAACCGGCACCACGCGGTCCCGACCGCGGGGCTCCGTCCCGATTTTGCGAGTTGCAAAGTCAAGCTGGAACGCTTTTTTAGTGTGGGGCCGTGATGCCTGGTCTGGAGATGAGCGCCCCGCCAAAGGTCGCGGGGAGCAGTTACTCCTTCCGGTTCGTGCCGGACCGGTTTTTCAGGCCCCTTTCTCTTTCCCTTCTTTTTTTTTCCTATGTCTCTTTTCCTTGTTGCGTTGCTGTTCTCCGCGGGTACTGCGTCCTCGGCGTTCCTGATGGTTCCTGATGGCAAAGTGCTTGGGTGGGCTGCAGGGAACTTGTGCAACACCAATGGCGTTCATGTCAAGAGCTAAACAAAGTCGGTTGTCCCACACCTTTGACAGCGCCTATTTCACGAATAGGGGACAGGCAAGGGAAACCTGGAATAGGCAAGGGGGTCATGCTCACCCCACCACTTCTGCATGAGGCTTCCCCGGGGGGCTTATGTCGAGTCATTCTTTTCCCAACCACAATTTGTCCTCAGGCTTCCCAGCATTGGCAACCTCTAGTGTCACACCCTCGTCTTGCAGCCCCCAATCCCCCATCCTGCCTAGCCTCCCTCGCCGTGAAGGCAAGGCAGCGAACTGGATCCGGATATACCACTTTGATGTGGCCGTGCCTTTATGACCATGTTGTCTCGAGCATCTCACAAACCATGGTAGGATATAAATCCATCATGCTGCCCCCCTTTGCACCTCCAGGACTTGCTACACCACAGCAGCAAGGCATCTCTCTATCTACTAAGCATTGGTATCATCGACTGAACCTCGACACATAACCACACCACAGCCAAACCACCCCGATCGAGTAATCAGAGTCCGGCCCACCATGGACGCATACTACGGTTATGACCAGTCGGCCCAACAGACAGTCCCGGCAGCGTACAGGCCATCCAAGCCCGAGGACTGGGAGCCGTACCACGACATCATCGCCCACCTGTACAACGCCATGAACATGAAGCTCAAGGACGTCATGTCCGAGATGCAGATGACTTACAACTTCAAGGCGACGTCGGGAGACCCACGATATCCCAGCGTATGATGCTTTGGCTAACGGCAATCGATATAGTGAGAAGCAGTACAAGACGCAACTAAAGAAGTGGAATCTCGACACAAAGTACATCAAGGCGTCGGAGTACATGTTCATGATCAAGACCATGAGGGAGCGGCAGGCCGAAAACCCGCCCAAGGAGACACGCTTCATGCTCCGAGGAAGAGTGGTGGATCCCAAGGACATCGCCCGTTTCGAAAAGCGGGCCCAGAAGAAGGGAACCATGCGGGACGGTGACCCAATTGAGTGTGATGGTGAGAGAACCAAATCGCCATTCTTTGTTATTGCTTGTTCCCGTTGCTAACCAGTATCTTGATGCTAGAACCTGTCGAGGATTTGGTGTATGGCACACCACCTCCTGAGGACGTCTCCTACCACCAGGCAGCCTACGCACAGGCCTATGCCGCCTACCAGTGTACGACAGCCCCGACCGTTTCATCCCCTGGGGCGACGACTGACTGACTCTTCGCCTTTCCAGACGACCCTTCGGCAGAATACTCCTATTCATACTGAGAGTTTCGAGACCGCCAGGCTTCCGTCAAGCCGGGTCAACTCGCAAGATGACAATGACGGATTCCAGCATGACTCCATGACAGCATGGAACGACAGCGAAGCTCATGTCGCTGTCAGCGTCTGGCTTTCGAGATGTAACAACAATAACGACTGAATTTCGGATGACATGGCGTGGTAAGGATTGGAACGTAGGATATTTACACATAGATTTTGTGTTTGGGGGCGCTCTTGGGATTTCTCTGGCTTCGATTTTTTTCACCATTTCAACGACTAGTACTTCTTGTTTTCAACTTTTCATTATGATTTTAGATCGAGCACACGCTCAATATACCCTGTTATTTTCTTGCATACGGCCTAATCAACATCGTCTCAGAGAGATAATATCGTGGTTTGGCCGCTTTCTTGCATGCGGAATGTTCTCTTTCCTTGTTCTGTAATTTACGAACATCAGCGGCATAGTACGCGCATACTTTACGAACGCGGTCCTTTTACAAAGGGTGGCCCCTAACCCTGGTTGCCTAACAGACCTTGTCGATTTACGAATAAGAAAGCTGCATAATGAGCCCAGGGTCCCATAGCTGCCTGACACAGAAGGAGCCGGGCCGATAAAAACGAGGTGACTCGATCCGGAACGCCAAATGGAACTGTTCACATGACATCGGCCGGGGAAGTCAAGCTTTGGCGGGAAGACGTTGACTTCGTGGGGGTGACATCACACAAGGCTGCATGGGGCAATTCTGCCTGCCGCCGCCAGGCATCGAGCCAAGCTTGGCCGAGGCTCGTTTTAATGAAACGGTAAAACCCGGTGCCCAAGCTTGGGGTTTCGGTCGCGTTGGCCTGCGGCGCTTCCCGCGTCTGCTGCACTGTTATACAACACCCAGCTTACGCGCGTCCGAAGCGCCGAATGTCGCTCCCAGCTGCAGCTGATCCCCTGTCAGCGAAGCTGATAGCGACATTTCTTTGATGATGTTGAACGCTGCGATTATGCGCGGGCCTTGTAGCTGCTTCATAGCGGCGCATGATCTGAGCAACGCGACCTCTAAGAGGCAAGTCACAACCCCAGACTTCCCAACTCCTATTCCCCTTTAAGATGGGTTGTCTGTCGTAAGCGACTCAGCCACAAACCCGACAGAATTCAAATCCTGGTGTTACCTTTGCAGAGAGCCAAGACCACCCAGACCGAATTCTCTCTCCAGTGGAAGTTGATGTAACCGGCTCTCGCCGTCCCGTCCCGTCCTCAATTACGAGAATCCATCCTTCGGTGATGACTCCGTGTGTACTAATTAAACTCAGAATGCAGCCCCAGACCTTCACATCGCGCCCTCGACCCTTCATATGTGGTTACGGTGGTGGCGCAGGTTTGCGGAACGTTGCACCAAATGGAACGCAGTTGGGTAAGTAAACAACGACATTGTTTCTTGTTTTTTTGCCCTGGATGCACAGTAGCATACTAGAGCTTGTAGGTTTCACGAGTCATTAAAAAAAAGGAATGCAAGATTGGGAAATCAAACAACACAAAAGAATCCCGTGGGGTGAAATACTGAAGAGGGCGGGACTGACGCCAGCAAGGCCCGGCTAGGACCCAAGAAACATGATACACATTCGATCCTGCTGGCAAGCCCGTATCCGGGAAAGGTAACTATCTATTCAATGATTCAGAGGTCCTCGGGCTAGCCGAATCCATATTTGCAACCACTTGCCCTCAAGTCTGCCCTTTCACATGTGAACAAACTCTTCAATGGGTACCTAAGGCACATGTACCTAACCCGGGTCGGTGGGTGACGTAGAGGTTAGTCCAGAAACAGATGAGTCCTCGACCGGAGACAACCTCGCTAGCAAACCAACATTACCTACCTAACACACACTGGACCGCTTGTGTCGCCCAGAAACGAGACTGCATCACCCATATTGGCGTGCTTACCTAACCGCTATGAGCACATTAACTATGACACGTCGGGTTTACGGACCCGAGGAACAAAAGACACCCCGACGACGGTTTCAGCTCTTTCATTTCTAGATGCGATTGCGCCTCCCTTGGCCGGGAAAACATGCGTGATTTAGAGCAACTCCGAACTTCCGGGTTGCGGTCCTTGGCTTGTTGCCGCTAGGGGGGGTGGTATGGCTGTGGCTGTGCTGTCGGCTAGACACGAGAAATAACCTTGCGGATGGTAGCATGCGAGAGGCTACGAAAATGTCGGGTATTGATGGCAGCGCCATTGATTTGGGTTTTCGCGAGTGTGGCGGGGGCTTCGTTAACAGCACACGGGGAACGTAACAGAAGAGTCCCGACTGCTCGTGTTGATGGTAGAGCAGTGTGTGGACATGGATGGAAGGTGATCTTTAAGCACTTAGAACAAGCAATCGTGGGGTTATGGAACAGACGGCAGCCGCTAATGCCCCGTCATTTACACAAACGGGTACTCTATGAACCTAGCATACCGGCTTCAATGAACCCCATCAAATGCGTCGCTGTTGAGTGCCGTGGAGGTTTGATAAGCACCAAGAAGCTTAAGCATAGAAGTTGACCGTCTAGACGAACAGTCAGTATCGTTAAACCATACATCCAGTCGGCAAGGGGTCTACTCACATCCTTCTTCTTGGCCTGTACTTCGGCAATGGCATCGACGTAGTGCTCGTGCCCAATCTTGTTCTTGCCCAAGCGCAGGGCAATCATGCCAGCCTCCACACACACAGCCTTGAGCATGGCGCCACCAAACTCATCCGTGCTGCGAGCCAACTCATCCCAGTTGACCGCCTCATCCACCTTCATTTTGCGTGAATGAATCTTGAGAATCTGAGCACGAGCCTCCTCGTTGGGGAGCGGGAACTCGATCTTGCGGTCCAAACGCCCTGATCGGAGCAGGGCGGGGTCCAGCACGTCCACTCGGTTTGTCGCAGCGATGACCTTGATCCGGTCGTCCGAAGCGAAACCGTCGAGCTGGTTAAGCAACTCCAACATGGTACGCTGCACCTCACGGTCACCACTCTTTTCGCTGTCGAAACGTTTGGTACCGACGGCGTCCAGCTCGTCGATGAAGATGATCGCCGGTGCCTTCTCCTTGGCGAGGGCAAAGCAATCTCGGACCAGCTTCGCGCCATCACCGATGAACATCTGCACGAGCTGTGGCCCCGCAAGCTTGAGGAAAGTAGCATCAGTTTGTGCAGCGCAGGCCCTGGCAAGCAGTGTCTTTCCCGTACCGGGAGGGCCGTACATCAGAGCGCCTATGACGTGGGTTAGCGCGGATCATCCCAGAAACATAAAATTGGCATATCATACCCTTTGGCGCCTTGATGCCAATCTTTTTGAACCGGTCCGCCTCCTTCATGGGCCATACGATGGCCTCGAGGAGCTCGTCGATTTGCTTGGTGAGACCACCGACGTCGGTGTACTTCTCAGTTGGCTTCTCGTCAACCTCCATAGCTTTGACTCTGCTGTCGTACTCGGCTGGGAGGGTGTCCAGAATGAGATATGAATCCTTATTCACGCCGATAAGGTCACCGGGCGTGAGCTTGTTCGGGTCGACTAGGCCGATCAGTGGCAGGAAGATGGTTTGCCGAGTCGACGTCTTGATGACGGCTGACTTGCCCACGCGGGTAGCGTCCAAGTCAATATTGGCACCCTCTTCGGACGATTCGGCGGTGGGGTCGAGGTCGAGCAGCTCCACGACGTTCCCGACGAGATATGGCAGTTGGCTACAGAAAAGCGTCAGCGGGCGCAGCGAAGGCGGCTGGAGCGCGGGGTAGCATACCGGTTGTTGGCGATCTTCTCCATGTTCTCCTTGATCTTCTCAGCCATGGTAGCTTTTTCGTGTGATAACCGCTGGTATTCGCTCTTCATGATTCTCGCATCGTTCTCAAGTAAGCGCCGGCGAGTCTTGATATCCTCTGTGCTGAGGCTCAGGATCTCTGGATCCAAGGCATCCTCCTCCTCCTGCTCGACATCTTCCATCTCGGCGTCGCCATCGCCGCCACCGCCGCCGCCTTGATTCCCCTTGTCGTTATCCTTCTTATCTTTGTTATCCTTCTCGTCACGCTCGCGGCGGTCGAGGTCGTCGAGCTCTTCGAGGGTGGACATGGCGAGTAGCGGGGCTTGTGGATCGGGTTTACGGGACGTTAAACGGTGAGTGTCAAGGGCGGAAGCCGAGGGATATGGAATTATTATGGATGTCGCCTGTTTTTCTCGGCACCGGGGGTGGCAAGTTGGTTGGGTACAAAGATGTGGGATGGGAGTTGGTGGAGGTTGTGGGAGGATAGAGCTCAATGGAATCGGCTGAGCGTAGCGTCGCTGCAGGCAAACGCGCGACGTAACCAGGCGGGACCCACAAGCCGGGGCAACCAACCAGCACAGACCCTTGCACTGTCTGGCCACGCTGACTAACGGCGCAGACTGAGGCGGAATGCTTGGTGGGTTAGTCGAGACTGGATTTACACTGTTGGATGCAGTTGTTGGACAGATAACTTGAGAGTATCGTTTCTGTAAAACCCTCGGAATTCGGTGCACTGGCAGGTCACGCTGGTTCGCGTCTGTAAAAAAACAACAACAAAAAAACAGCTCCAACCTCCACCGGAAACCTGAACGCTAGCAACAAACCGCCAACTCCAAAATCCCCAATGCCCCATGGAGATACACATTAGCGTAGACATAGATATCACAAAACATGGAACCACCGCCGCCACGCTGTTCGTAACAAAAAACAAAAGCGATCCTCCCAGCCGTCATCACTCGTCGTCCAAGATCCTGCTCGCTATACGGCCAATAATAGGGACTTCGTATCTAATGCAGTGTTAGCTCCCATACCATGGCCTAGAAATTCCGTGACAAGACCAACCTGTCCAAGGTGTCCGCATCCCGATACGCGTTGAACACCAGCCAAGCAATAAGCGGCAGGTCCGCCAGGAAAATGACCCAGCTAAGGAAGGTCGACCACGAGAACAGCAGATGCAGGACGAACAGAGCCGTGAACAACAGACTCGACTGCCACGCATGGAACCTGTCAAATACAACTTTACTATTAGCATCCTCCCATCACTACGAGCCAGCAAGCAAACCCAATCTCTCAAGGGAACGAACATACCTGACATAATCACTGTTCCGCTCCAGTATCAGCAGCAGAATCGCCCCCAACGGCGGCGCCACCAAGTACGCCAAACACGCCTCATAGTCCAGCCGCAGGCCCAAGCTCGTATCAAACTCGCTCACCATCCCCTCCCTCGCGCCCAGCGATGAGAAGTAATCGCCGACCCCGCCGCCGCGGCCTCCCCACGGGCTCCCCCCGTTCCCCGCACTCCCATTCCCATTCCCATCCCCATCGCCCAAATCCGCCGCCGACGTCGCGTTCCCCGGCACGGCCAGCGGGCTCTGGTAGCGGCCGACGCCTTCGCTCGACCACGCGCGCTGCGGCTGCGGGTGCTGCAGCGGGGGCGGGGAGATGGCGGCTTGGCGGTGCTGGTAGTGGTGGCCGGTGGCGGGGGAGTAGGCGCCGCGGCGGTTGGGGTTGTTGTTGGTGTTTTCGAGGGAGGTGCGGGGGGAGGCGGTCGTGCTGTGCGTCGGCGAGCGGGCGTGCTCCGGCGGCGAGGACTGGTACGGCGCGAAGTCCATGTTTTGGGGTCGGTTGAGCGTTGTTTGAGGTGGGGAGGGAGGGGGTCCGCTACCGGCCGCTGGTTGTTGGGTGTCGAGGCCGGGGTCGGTCGGTCGCTCCCGTCTGCGGGGGTGTTCGTTCCGGTGGGGGTGGCGGTACCCGGCCGGTACGGGGGCCGGAGTTCGGCTGTTTCGGTCGGTGTCCTGTTGAAGGATGCCCCTGGGGCAATTGTGGTTGGTTCCGGGGAGCTTTGGAAGCTTGCGACGTTCGTGTGGGTCGTCCGAAGCTGGGGCTTATCGATTGCGATAACGACGAATTCGTTTGGTTTGGTTGCCGCAGGTGTTGTCGCCGCGTCTTGCGAGTGGTCAATTGTGGAATAGTGTATCAAAGCCACCAAGTGTCGGACATCTGACGTCGTGTGCTGTTTCGATGATCTGTTTCGTTGGTGGTGGTGCTGGGCTGGATGGTGGCTGCGCCGCGAGGTCGAGCATGACGAGATCCCGCTTTGCCGCTTACCGGGGTAGGGCGCTGCAGGGACTCGCTTACGGGGCAACTCCTCGCCGAGGATTGCTCCCCGCTTATGACGGCGGCTTCGTTTCACATGGTTAAGATAATAATGGCATGTGTGCCTGAATTAGCCGTGGGTGGTATTTGATACAGTAAATTTACAAGTCTAGATATCGCATCTACTGCAATCCGGCGTTCGCCAAACCCCACGCTATATGCGGCGTGTAGAGGTACACTTCCAGCCAATTCAATACCCCCCCAGCTCAGGCTGCCTCCTCCTTCTTCTCCCCTTCCTTGGGCCCGTTTTGCTCTTCTTCCAGCATACTCCGGCGGCTCTCCATGGTAAGCCAGAGGCTCTTGCTCGCACCCTCCAACGTGGTCGTGAGGCCGAGACCAGCTGTCTGGAGCATGTGGACAAGCTGCGCGCGCAAGCCGTCCAGACCGCCGTCAATCCCGCCAACCCACTTGACGCCATCCAGATCGAAAACCTTATCCTCAATCCGTCCACCAACCAACATGAGTTTCTGGAGCCCGCCCTGGGCGATGGCGTCGTGGTACCCGGGGTTCTTCTTCTTGCTCGGCGCCGGGAACGCGGGCGGGCTCGGGCAGAGGACACACAGCGCAGCGGCCAAATGTGCTGGCGATACAGCTGGGAGAGTGAAAAGTGCTAGCGGCCCGACAAGCAGCGGCGAAATCTGGCCATAAGCGGATGATTCGGGCAATGACTCGTCACCCTTCGTGGCGCTCTTGGAAGCCTTGTAGGCCGCCTTGGACAGGTCGTGGTTATACACCACTTGGACCTTCTTGCCCGAAATAGAGGACACTGTTGTAGGAGTAACCTTGGAGGGGTCGTGGAACTCAACGATCTTGAGGGCAACGTCGAAGATGCGGGTCCGGATCACTTGTAATTGAGCTTTCGACGCGATATCCGCAGATTCTGATCCCTCAGTAGAAACGCTATCAAGGGCGAGCCTCAGCTCCCGCCTGACCGCAGCCCATTCCACCGCCGTGAGGTTGTTGTGTTGGAAAATCAAGGTTATGGGTGCCGAGCGGAGCAGAGAGGTGTAGGTACGGAGGAGCTGGGACTTTCGCGTGTCGGAAGGGCGTGCGGTCGGGGGTTTGGTGGGAGGAACGTAGTCATCTGGTATTCTGAAACCCGAGGTGGGTGCTGCGGCAGCCGTGGCATACTGTCTTGTCGCCGTGCATGGTGTAGATGCTGAGGGAAGGCGGAGAACGAGGGGTCGGTTCGAGATTCTCGATGGGTTAACGGCGGAACCCAGGCCACGAGGGATGGCGCATCTTATTCTCGGGGGCATTTTGTGGATTGGATCGGTGGAGTGTACCAACCTGATCCCAACGACAGCTAATCCGCTCGATTCACTTCGATATTCACTGACTTCGAGATCCGAAATTTTGGCGTCGCCAATCGCAGCACCTGCAGGGGTCATGACCGAGCGGGGACCAAAATCTGACGCTAGTCTCACCGCCCTAGTTCTGCCGTATTACTGTGTACAATTGCATGGGGTCTGTTACTGAAACCAACGGAAGGATCCCTGCGACCCCCGCCAGACCTCCGGTCATCGCGGGGTGCTTTTTGTGAGCTGAAGCTGCAGGTTCAAAGAGCTTCTGGTCCTCGAATTCAAAATGAGTCAACCTCCATCCCACCCTCCCGCTCGCTATTTCTGGCGGCTGCTTCGGTACAATTGGTATTCGGAGATCACATAAGGTGTTAGAACCATCCATCATTGAATAAATCCTCAAACCACAGCCAACAACAAACCCATTGTCTACCCAAGTGCCCACCCAAAGCTCTAAACCATGGCGCCGCCAACTGAAGACCAGCCCCTCGTTAACCTCAAGCCATTGCTGGCGAGGCTTTGGCCTTTGGGGCACCCCGACCCAGTCTCGCCAGTAGAAATTGCCGAAGCCATCTCGCATTTCTTCACCAACCAAGTCTCGGAAGTTCAAGCCGGTGCTTTGCTGATGTGCCTACACTTCACGGGCTTGGATCGCCAGGCTGAGGTATTGGCCAAGACAGCAGAATGCATGCTCAAGTCTGCCGCAAAGATTGATCAACCCCTCCTTCGGGCGGCCATTGACGCAAGGAGGAGGAAAGAAGGACAATATGAGGGCGGGTTGGTAAGTTTCTCGTTGTTATCTTCCTACCGTTCCCCTCCATTCACGCTCTGCTAGGTCGACATCGTCGGCACAGGAGGCGACTCCCACAACACCTTCAACATCAGCACGACGGCCTCCATCATCGCCTCGAGCCTCCTCCTCATCGCCAAGCACGGCAACAGGGCATCGACCTCGAAATCGGGCTCCGCCGACCTCCTCAACTGCATGCAGCCACAGCCGCCCCAAATAGACCGCATCCGCCCGGACACTATCGCCGAGCTGTATAGCAACACCAACTACGGCTTCCTGTTTGCCCCCGTCTTCCACCCGGGTATGCGGCACGTCGCGCCCATCCGCAAGCAGCTGCCATGGCGCACCATCTTCAACCTCGTCGGCCCGCTGGCCAACCCCACCGACCTGCGCGACCCAACCCAGCCAGCCGGCGCCGACCCCCTCCTCGAAGCGCGCGTGATCGGCGTGGCGCGCAAGGACATCGGCCCCGTGTTCGCGCACGCGCTGCGCCTCGGCGGCGCGCGCAAGGCCATGGTGGTGTGCGGCGACGAGGAGCTGGACGAGATCAGCTGCGCGGGCGACACGCTGTGCTGGCGGATCCGCCCCGCCGATGATGGTGATGGCACCTCCTCTGGCGGCGGCGAGGAGGCCATCACGGAGCACTTCCGGCTGCACCCGCGCGACTTCGGCCTGCCGGCGCACCCGCTGTCGGCGGTGTCGCCGGGCAAGGAGCCGCACGAGAACGCGGGGATCCTACGCCGAATCCTGGACGGCCACGTGCCCGACGACGACCCCATCCTGCACTTTGTGCTGATCAACGCCGCCGCGCTGTTCGTGGTGTCGGGCATCTGCGAGGCCGACACGAGCGACCTGGGCCATGGGGACGACGGCGCCGTCGTCACGGAGAGGGGCCCCGGAGGCGGGCGGTGGAAGGAGGGCGTGCGCCGCGCGCGGTGGGCCATCAAGAGTGGCGAGGCTGCGAGGCAGTGGGCCAAGTTTGTCGAGGTCACGAACAGTTTCAATGCTTGATTGCATTGGGTAGTTGATATATGGGTTTAGTTACAGGTGGTTTCTTTTTTGATGGAGCCTACGATGGAAATAGGGAGACATTGGACCACTCACAGAAGAATCGTGAACGCATTTTAAAGTTCCTACAAATCATTCCTGATCTATCTACCCGCGATGGGGCCATTTTTCTCTGCAAGATATGAGAGTCGAGAGCTAAGACTATTCTCATCTAAGCACCGAAGTAGGGATGAACGTTTGCCAGACACCTTCAAACATCAACCTGCCATCCTTCACTCACACCGCTATCATCGCTAATCTCCGCGCCCTCTGCCTCAATCGATGGCGTTTCCGCTTCTCCCTGTGTTTGTCCCGCTTCTCCCGGAGTTTGTCCAGCTCATCGCAGGGTTTACTCACTTTATCCCGAGACTTACTGCGCTTTACACTTGGACTCGGTGGCGGGACGTGCTCGTCTCCATTCTATTTGGACAACACACCCCTAACGACACCCTTGACGAGCGGCTTCCCCTCCACGAGCACCTCGCCGATGCCCGTGTCCTCCCCGCTGCCCTTCTCCAACCACCTCAGAAGCAGGTCGTTGCTTTCCTTAGGCTTGACGCTATCGTCCCGGGTGCCGACAGTGATGTGGGCGACGCGGTTGACGCACTCCCACTTGGGCTTGGCAGGCAGCGTCGGGGTTCTCGGCGTTGACGTTCTCGTCCTCCGGGTCGGTCGGGACGAGGCGCACGACGATGGCCATGATGCGGTCGTCGAACACGACGCGCTCCAGCTCCACGCCCAAGTCGCCTAGTCGCCCGTCAGGTTGGATCGTGCCCTCCGACTCGTGCAGGGATGTGTACCGCTCCCAAAGGTCTGGGTACTGCTTGGCGCTGGCGCGGTGCATCAACGTGACGTGGAACTTGGGCTGCACGCGGCGGGTACCCTGGAGCTGTTTGAAGAAGCGGGATTTGGCGGCTGGTAAGGGGAAGGGGAAGCTTTTCTCGAGGGCCGCAAGGACGTCCTTTGTAGGGAGGTCGACGGACATGTACTCGAGGCCCTTCTTTTTCTTGGGCTTCTCGGTGGCTTGCTGTTGCTGCTTGTTGCCCTTCTTGAAATCATTCCGGGAGCGGTTGGGAAGGTTGTGGCGTAGGTCAGGCTTGTAGCCGTCAAGTGCCCCCTGGATTGCCAAGTCCATTTCCTCTGCCGAGGGGATCTCCTTCACGAAGCTTGGGAACTGGCGGTGCAGCTCCTTGATGACGATCTCGAGGTTGTCTCTCGATCCGGCGGTGGGATCCAGGTCGATGACGGCGTCAAACCCGGAGTCCGGCTCCATATCCGCGTTGCATGGCTCGAATCGCTGTATAAACCCTTCCATAATGCCGACGACCTTGTTCATGTCCGTGGCGGCCTGGATGGTTTGGTGGTTATCGCCACGTGCAAAAACCCGCTCGTGGGTGATCCGGCGGATGGTGTCCATATCGTGATGGACAAAGTTGAGGGCTACCAATTTCGCAGTCGTGTGCTGTAGCTTGACGTCCGTGAGAAGCTGCTGGCGCTCTTGTTTCATGGAATTATTCCGGTCAGCGAATACAGCATCGCGGTCCTCAAGTTCGTCGAGAAGTGCCTTTACAAATCGCGGGGGCCGCTTAGCGCCCGTAATGTTGTCGTTTTGGATGTGGCCCCAGCCAAACAAGCTAGTAAGCGCAACGCCAATCGTCGTCTTGCCGCAACCGATGGTCGCGATCGGAACGAGGATGACATCGCGAGTAACGGGCGGAGCTTGACCCAGATCTTCGAGGTTGGCGGCATCAGAGCCTCTCAGGTTCTTGTGGGCCAAAAAATCGTTGCGCAGCTTGATGATGCCATGATTTTGAGCGTAGGCCTTCCCCAGGAACCGGTCGGCTGCGAGGCGTTGCCGGGCGTATAGCAGGTACTCTTCGGTGATTTTGACGTGCTTCCTCAAATTGAACTTTCTCCCCGAGATAAGCGCCTTGGTCGCCTCGCGCCATTGCCGGAACATCAAATACGGCTCCTCGAATTTGTATTTGAAGAACCAGTCTTGGTACGGCGCAACACCGGGGTTGGTGGTCATCTTGCACCGGATGACAAAACCTTCGACGTCGCGGCCATCGTGAGCCCCCGTCTCGGCGACCTCCTCGAGGAACGCCTTCACTTGGTCGATGTCATCGATCATGATCAAGCCCGTCTTGATGAAACCCCAGTCTTCGGCGAACTTCTGGACAATCGGAGAAGGGTAAGTCATGAACTCGGGGATATTAATGTTGATACCGTGCAGGTACAGGCCGGACCTATCTGGCCCGTAAGCCAAGATGTGCTCCTCGAAGCTGTCGTCGCACAGCTCGGCGACCGCTGTGGCATTTCGCTTCCTCAGCTCCCGGGCCAAATCTTGCTTGGTCTTGCCAATCCGCGCCAACTGCTGCTCAACGTGTCGCTCGCCCACTTTGGCGTGACTGGCGACGACATCAGACCGATCCCCGGTAGAGTGCTTGCTGCAGACGAGTAATGTATCATCCTCGAGGCCGCTGATAAAGATGATGCAGCCGTTCTCCTTCAGGCTGAGCTCGTAGGGGCCCTTGGTCCGTTCCTTTATGTGCTCCCACGCGGTCTCGCGGACCTCATTAATGTTGAAGAACTTGTCGTAGCCTCTAATAGCGATCTCAGGGACGTTGTGTCGATTCCTGGTGGTGAACAGGCCGCGGGCGTAAGTCGGCAAGTCTCGGAGCTTATAGTCGGACTCCTGCAGACGCCACGAATCGACCGTGATTCCATTCGGAGACGAGTCTACTGCGTATTTTGTCTTCCTCGCGTTGAACTTGCCGCGGCCCTTGCCTTTCTTGGTCGACTCCTCAAGGCCGCGGAGCATTGTAGCAATCTCCTGACCATCTTGCTTAACATAGGGGACTTCCAACCCCGCGGCGTCCTTGGCATAGTCTATCGAGGCAGTGTATCTCGACGCGAGTGTTGTATCCGGAGTTTCAACGGAGGCTTCCATGTTGCTCGTGTGTAGTAGTTTTGAGGTGGAGCTTGCGTGGTTGTGTGCAGCGGCGACCGGGTGAGGGGTGAAGCTTGCCTTAGTGTGGATACGGGACCACGAACTTCGGAATTGCGAAGCAAAGCAAAAAAGCGAGGATGAAGGGCGGTGGGATGGTTGGTATACCAATCTCCGAATGAAAGAAAAAGATGATCTTTGTCTTGGTTTGGGTTGGGAACAGAATCTGAAGGCAGTCCCGAATGCTGGAGCTTTTAACATGCACTGGCACATGGTAGCTACCACAGGCACCTGCTGCCCATTTCCGTCAAGCAACGACCAAACTGGCTGACTCCGATGCAGCGCGTCCAGGAACCAGGGCCAGACCTTCCTGATGAGTCAACGGCCAAACTTATTCCATCCCAAACTACATGGATTGAATGTGGCCGGTTTAACCAAACAGAGCCGCAATTGAAAAGGAACGCTGAATGAAACGAGGCACACGGATGGCCTCCACGTTCCATGTGTAGCCCAGATTCTCGCTCGCCGGGGGAGTCATGGACGCCTCATTTTTAAACTAAGGCCGCAGCGCTTACAGGGGGGCACGGCCACGGCCCCCAAATTGACAGGAACCCATGGGCAAAAGTAACCGTCACTTGTCACTTGCGTTGTGTACAGTGCGGAGAGAAACTCAGATTTGGCACTATAAAAAAGCTGTGTTCTCTAGGAGCAGCAAAACAAGCATTCCCTAGGCCATAGATGAGTTACCTAGGTGCCTAAATCGATGTACTGCCCAAGGTCCCGTCAACCTGGTTGGTATGTGCCTTGCTAATTCTATCGTGCATGGACAGCCCAGACGTACCCCACTGTATCATGGAACCCCACCAAAATTTTGTTCCACGAGGAATCTCGACTGAGCCAAACTAATAACTGAGTGGAAAGGCGGGCATTGTGTGATAGTCGGCAACTACCTTAGCCCAACTTTTATTTCACGAGATACACCAAGCGCCCTAAACATCCTTTAACCCCCCCCAAATGGCGCCCAACCCCTACCTCCTTGCAGCCGACAACCCAGCAGCGCTGCTCGCCCTCCTCCACGAAGACCCCGCCTTGGCGTCTGGTCAAGACGAGCATGGCTATTCCCTCGTGCATGCCGCCGCCAGCTACAATCATCTTAGCCTCCTCCGATCCCTAGCCCGCGAGTTCAAAGTCCCGATCGACCTCAAAGACGAAGACGGCGAGACTGCGCTATTCGTGGTCGAATCGGTTGGGGCCGCCCGCGTGCTTGTGGAAGAGTTGGGGCTGGACCCCAAGATACAAAATGATGAGGGACAAACGGCAGGGGAGAAAATTGAGGCTGAGGGCGATTGGCCTGCAGTAGCCGTGTACCTCCAGGGATTGAATGAGGAGCCGGCAGCCACCAACGGGGCACCTAATGGCACAACATCGGCCGGAACGGAACTGCCTCCCGTTCCAGAAGGGTTGCAAGTGACTATGGGCATGATGGATGAGGCGGCGGCGGGGGGGCAGCAACCAGACCCCGAATTTCGCCGGAGGATAGAGGAGTTGGCTGCGAGAGAGGATTTCCAGGCGCCTGAGGGCCAGGCAGAATTGCGAAGACTGGTCGAGGAGGCTATCGGCGGTGCGGAAGGGCTCAGTGAAGAAAGGAGCGTTCGGCCAAGGCAGGATTGAGGGCAGAAAATCCCACGGTTTTGTCCTCACTCATGATATTTGACCTCCCACATAAGGTATTCCCCTGACGAATTTGGCGGGCGGAGAATGATGCACTCGGCGTTATCTCCAGCCAAGCCCTTGGAAAAAGTGGTCGTGCTGAACGAAAACCAGGCCTTGTGGGGTAAAGTGGTGACGATATCGATCAAGGCCTGACGAGTCCACGACGGTGCGAGGAAGCCTTGCCAACTTATCTTGCAGAGCCTGCCCTCGCTCCCGCCATCGAGAACTTGGTACCGGGAAAGATAGGGGTCGATTTGGTCGCCGGCCTGGATACGGGGGCTTTGAAGTCGAACGAGGGATAGCCACTCATACAAGCTAGTTGCAAAGTCCTCGAAATCCTCTCGGCTGGTGGAAGAAAGGAAGCCTACGTCCGGAGTGAGCTCTGGGATCACAGCATTTATACTCTCGGAGATTTCAGGCTTGGAAGTGCAGTCAGTGAGAGCGTGCTGTGACATAGGGTCGGGATCGGGAGCTACAATCTGAATTAGCAAAGTTGGGAAGAGTTAAGCGGGGGTCCTTACTCGTCGAGCTGTTGCAAAACAACCATGTAATGGGTTGAGCGAGGGCATTCTTGCTGGCATATACCAAGCGGTCAAATCCCTTTTTCCCTGGAACCATGGATGGCGCTGTGAGGTCGAATTCGACAACTGAAAACATATCAGCAAGAAAACTGAACGATTCGTACCTTGTAGAGCTTACTCCAGCGTGGCTTCGCCCCCCGTTTTCCTTTGACACCATGCGGTTTTCCCATCAGTCCTGCGCGCTCATAGGCTTCCCTCTCCAAATACATTGTGAGAGTACCGTTTCTCAGCGTGAAAACATTATCAATTCCTATCCTGCCCTCGGACAGCATCAAGATCTTTCCTACTGCAAGTCAACATTGTCATGTTTCCCGAACCACCACTTAATCCTTACCATTCTTAATGTACTGGGTAAAGAAGTCACCAGAAAGAATGTCATGTAGTGACAAGACCACTCTTTTGAAAGCAGGTGCCGGCGAGCTTTTAAGCAGCTTTTCTTGAACCAGCCCAAGAAGCTCTTGGGGGATGACCAAGTCAGCCTATTGCCGGAATTAGCACGATTATCAGACGCTTGTTTTTCTCACCGCCACAATGGTCGAGGAGCATCAAATGTCAACTCGGGGTGAAGATGCACGTACCCTGTGGACAAAATCTTGGCTTGTAAACGTTGACCAAGGCTTCGATTTTGAGGGAAGTTGTTTTGGGTCAAGATGGCCCATTACTCCGTAAGTGACATAACACTTGGCGGCCTGGTAAACCGCAGGTTGATTGAACGACAGCATGTTGTTATTTTAACCAGAGCTTCCTGGCGTCTGTTGTCGACTGCTTCATGTTTGCTGTGTTGAATGGTTTGTGGACCACAGAACTGCCTGACAAAATCTCAGGCAGTTTTAGGCAGGCGCCGGGGTGTATATTGATTGTCTCTGTGAAGGTGATTGGCTTAAACAGTGCAAAACCCTGGACTGTTTCTCTATTTCCACCCCGCTGTGAATTTCAGACCAGGCACAAACCTCGTTTCAAGCAAACTGAACACCTGCCTCATGCACTTCCAAACCTTAAAAGTCGAACTCGATATTTGCTGAGCAAATGACTTTCAGGGGGAATAGCACCCTAAACTCACAATATCGGAACCGTTCACGGGTAGTATGCGGCCACCTTATGAGGTGAACACCGTCAAAATGGACTATCTCATTCGCTTCTCTCAGTCCCATGAGACTTTCCGTTTGCCTGAAATGCAAGCATTGGCACTTATTGAGGGGATTGACTTGAAGGTCATCTCGTACACTCTCGATGTAAGTCAACGCTACCGAGGAGCCATCGACAACATCCCTATTCCGTGACCCCTCTATTACCCCGCCCCCTGACCATCGTCAACAACACCCCTGCAGTCTACTGACTCAACACACCGCGACAGTCCCCATTTTGCATCGTCAACCTCCCCTCCGAAGCGGCCGCCCGGCGGCTGATCCGGCGGTCCATCCTCGCCATGTCGATCCACGAGCTCTGGGGGTCCGGGACCGACCTCTCCGCCGTGCACGCGGCCGTGCACGAGTCCACGGCACACCTCTGGGCACAGTACCTGAGCTGCTCCTTCAAGTTCACCATCGACTCGTACCAGGGGTCGCGGGCGGCCGACGACAAGATTCGCATCATCAACTCGTTCGCCTACCTGGGCTTCGCGGGCCCCATCGTGATGCGGCATCCCGACCAGGAGTTCATCCTGTTCGAGGACTGGGAGTTCAACTCGACGCCGCTGGGCATCCCCGACCCCAAGCACTACTACTTTGGCCGCTACCTGGCCACTGGCGCTCGCGACCTGCCCAAGAAGCTGGACCTGAAGAAGCGCCGCTATATTAGCACCACGTCCATGGACGCCGAGTTGGCGTTGGTGACGGCTAACATTGCGCTGGCCGCGCCGGGGAAGATTATGTACGATCCCTTCGTGGGGACGGGGAGCTTTCCGATCGCGTGCGCGCAGTTCGGGGCTGTGGCGTTCGGGAGTGATATTGATGGCCGGAGTATTAGGGGGGATGAGAAGAAGCGGACGCTGAAGGGGAATTTTCAGCAGTATGGTCTGCTGGCTGGGTTGGGGGGCATGTTTACGGCAGATTTGACCAACTCGCCGATCCGGAAGGCTGCGTTAAGGTATGATGGGGATGGTGTCAAGGGGAGGGTGTTTGATGGGATTGTATGTGACCCGCCGTACGGGGTGAGGGAAGGGTTAAAGGTGCTGGGAGTGCGCGATCCGGAGAAGTCGCCCTGGATAATACCCAAGGGGAAGGAGATGTACAAGTCAGTTATCACGGCATGGGTGGAGTGGGAAGGATAGATCTAACGTTTTGCAGGGACCCCGACTTCATCCCGCCAAGGAAACCATATGGGTTTCTTGCCATGTTGGACGACATCCTGCAATTCTCAGCCCAAACACTTGTCGATGATGGGCGGCTATCATTCTGGATGCCTACGGCGAACGACGAGCAACAAGAGGTCCCAGTCCCAACACACCCTTACCTCGAAATCGTCGCGGTGTGCACACAAGTTTTTAACAAGTGTATGTCCCCTTTCCCTTCATCGTATCGGCTCTCCTGACCTAGATGTGAACAGGGTCCCGGCGTCTGATAACTTATCGACGGATTCCAGATGCGGAAGTCGACCAAGATGCGATGCAAGCACGGGAAGAGATGAAGCCAGTTGGCAAGACAGTGGACGAACTGAATCCGTTCCGCAAGGCGTATTTCAACGGGTTTGAACCAGCTGCTGAAACAGCTGATGATGCGCCATAGATACCCATATCCATCCATACCCAAGCATATACAATGAAATTCCTGTCCCGCTCTTGCAGCGGCCGGTGCACGCCCTTTCCGCCCCCCCACGATACCGCTTCGTTACCTACTTGTGTTATCCCACCCTAGTTACATTCCCTTACCGAGAGCCGCCCGTATTTGTACTTCGCTGTTAAGCAACAGACAATATGCAACGCTGTATCCGCCCAAACCAAAAAACAACGGGGGGCCCTTCTCCCCGAGCGCGTGTATGCCCTGCAATCCAAAACCATCCGCCAGTACCCGACCATATCTATCGAAACTCCACGGCGCCAAAACATCCCCTGTTTTCCACATATTTCAGCTCCAGCTGTTGAAAGCTGTGAGGCGGTTAATAAAACCCTTGCTCGGATTGGGGAAGCGGGTCAGGAAACTCACTTCTCGCTTTTCCGATGAAAGTAGATGCCGCTTATCTCCCCTTTTACCTGGTTGAAGCAGACGTAGTAGAATCCCTCAAAACTCGCGTTCCTGATGGTTCGGATCCGGTGGTCGGGTACAAGGAAGTGTTCCTTCCACCTCATGAATATGTTTTCCCGCTGGTCCAAGTCCTTGATCAACGTCTGCGTGCCCTTGCGCATCTGCTTTTGGTACGGCCGAAACGCGGTGAACTTGCTCCAGTGTTGAAAGTCGACTTTTTCGCTTGCGCCCCACTCCTGGTGTTGGGTGACGAAGCCGTGTTTGCTGCCGATGATCTCACCCTCAAAGTACGTGGTGAGGGTCGGGTGGTCATCAGCCAGACCTTACGCGGGTTGATCAGTCAACTACGGCAACTCGAGGCACAGCGAAGGGGCAGAAACATACCTTGAATCGTCAAGTGCCCGCACATAAAGGACTCGCGCATGTCCACGTGCTTAATCTCGACCTCGACCTCATACCGCTGACGCTTCGACTGCTGTGTTCCGACGAACCGGCTACCAGCTTGGAGATATAACGATGGCGCAGGTGTCATGACTCTCATGTGCGAATACTCCAGACCCATGCCCATGAGGCCACTGTCCTCCACCCACCGCGGCCCCTTGTCGAGAGGGCCCCACACATCGGCCTCGTGTGTTTCCACGGGGATTGGCAATAGCTGCTCTGCTCTGGATTTCGTTTCGCTCGGGGGTTCGCAAGCCGTTGTTCTCGTTCTCTCACGGCTTCCGCTCGCCACACCACCACTCCCACCGACGGCACCCCCATGTGAAAGCTCGGCGGCCGCAAGGCGCATGTCTTCATCTACGTCAGTCGGCTTTTGCCTCTCTTCTGCTGCACCGTCCCGCGTTGTAGTCGTCCTTCCTGGCACGTGGCGCATATGGACATCACGGCTATCGCCATCGGGCTGCGGTCCCGGCGACATCGTAACCGACCGCGAGTCACCGCTCGTGGCTGTGTCTGGGCGGGGCTCGTGGTCGGTGGTATATGCAGAGGGGGAACGAGGACGCCAGCTCGACGGTGATAGCGGGTCTGGAGAAGTCGGGCTACTCTCGGCGGTGGGTTGCGAAGGCTGCTCCTCATCGGGGTCGGGACATGACGAGAGTGGATAGAAGTGCGGTGATGGCGGGTCGGGCCTGTTGGAAGAGGGCGTTGGCATGTCAGGCGGTAGAAATAATTGGGCGATTTGATGCTCGATCGTCAACCAGGCGTGGGTCGAGTCAACGCGATGAAAGGAGGCGTAAGACGTGGGTGGATGTGACGAGGAATTGGAAATGGACGCGATCCGGGCCGTAAACCAAAAATAAATATATAGGGACTGGCACGTCTTAGGCGACGGGCGCAATCGATGAACGAGGACGGGGGCCCCCGAGAGTTGCAGTCCAAGGTGTTCTTTCTCGGAGGGTAGTCGGTGATGGTCTCGTGGGTGAATCCGTTGTGGTGGAGCTTAGCCAAGAGCCTTGGGGCGGCTCGCGGGGAAGAATGCGGGCGGTGTGTCTCCGAGGGCCGGTCGCGCAGTCGGTTCCGGTTTGGAAATGAAGGATAAACGATCACGGAAATCAGCCAGCGGATGTGAGCGCGAAGGGGATGTTGGTTATCTGTGGGCGGAAAGGGAGAAGGTCAAGAATTGAAGCTCAGTAACAATGATGTCGCCATTGGGTGATCGGCCCATAACCACCTAACTCGGTCCTTAATGGAAGCCATGTGCTCACTGTTCCCAAGGACGGGCCATTCAGAGCCCAAGCGACAGCCCAGCGTCAATCTTGGCATCCACCATTCCAGGCTTTCGACGATTTTAAACAGCCCGGATACCTGTCAAGCAACTCAAATTACTCCTATGGCCTCGGAGTTCATTGCTTCAATCTCCCAAACACTGTTTTAGTGAAACGTAAGACAACAATAATTCTTGTGTTCCTGTGATGTGTCTATTGTAATCCAACTTTGGACAACCAATCCCCGCCGAGCACCCAAAGCCACACTCACAAGCTTGCAGGTAGCACAGATGTCAACAAGCGATTGGCTTCAGGGGGGTGTATTGACCGCTGGCCGTTAAGCCAACTGCGGGCTGGGAAAGAAGCGTGGTTTGTGAACAGCCTCCCCATCTTTCTCATCTCCCGAGCTCACGATCCATGGTGTTCTCTGTGGGAGTCCAGGCTCTGTCTGATTGCTTCCATCACGATAGCCCCATCTTTTTAGCCTCCGCAACGGTGTGCGCACCATAATAAGAGCAGCGCCATAAAGTCCGCAGCCATGGTTGGCTGGCATCTCTCCGTCCCCATGATCATCAATCGAGTAGGTTGGCGGTCTTAGGACGGCTTTGTTAGATCTGTGAAGTGCCGAGAACGTTTTCCTCCCGTCGACGCCTTGTTTGTTGAGAAGCTTCGTAGCCTCAGATTGGCTTAATCTTGAAGTGAAGAGCGATGAGGCTGAAAACCAACGCCTTGAGATCTTGCACAAGGTAGTAGAAGACACGGAGACCTTCCGGATCCGCAGACTCCGTCACGTCGTTGATCGAACCAATCTTCGCCGTCTACTTGGAGTTAGTTATTAACCAGGTGAAAGGGGGGGTGATGGGGGGGGATCATGGCTGCCTGAACTGACCTCGAAAGAGATGTGATCATTTCCAACCCGAATCTCCAACTCCTGCCTCCCGTCCTTGTTCTTAGTCGGCCATTTTGCGTCATCCTCCCTACAGACCATCATTAGTGATGCGCCCCCAAATCCTCGGGCTGCCAACCATACTTCAATATCTCGCTTTCCTTCACGATTCTCTTGATCTCATCGACAACCAAGGAGCTCACAAACACTACGATGAAGCTCAATGTCAGTCGACTGCTGGCTCGAGGGCTGTGGGATGAATCTTTTCCCCGTACTCTCTTTCCGAATCAGACTATCATTCCGGTAGTTAGAGTTGTTGGCGTAGCGCGCAGTGGCGCTACGTCCATCCCCGACAACTCGAAAATCGAACTCTGGATGACACAACACGATCAGCTGGGTTCAAGGATCTGTGTCGGGGGCGAGCAGGAGCATACCGAGGAACTCGTGGCCGAAGCGACCTTGATGGCCCGAGCTGTTATTAAAGCCCTGAATTAGTCTTCCATATCAAAATTGTAGGGAAAAAGCAATGCATACTAGTAGCGGATGTAAAACGGCTCGTTCAAGTTTGACATGGCGGCGACGAAGGTGGGTTGCGACAAGGTGTAAATGCGAACCCTCGCGACAGCCGCGTCGATTTGAGACAACCAAGCTCGCTCGAGACCATGGCAGCATGGCAGGCAACTTGCAGCGGGGCAGTAACCCCACCAGACCCCGGCGGGCTTGGCATTTACACGTGATTTTGTCACTCCTCGACAGCTGGCAGCCCAGCCTGACAGCAGGCCAGTAATGCCACATCTCCCATGCACGCCTGCTTGTTCCTTCGATAGTTATTGACGACCCTGAGCGATCGTATCGGGGTGGACTCCTTTTGGCCCTCACTACACAGCAGGTGATGCTCCGCTCTCCCACGCTGCCAGCGGCTCACGAATCACTTCCTCCCGACCTGCCGACTGCGCATACCAGGTTCACACAGCCGCTCGCCTGAGCAGAACCGTGCTACGATCCTTGGAGAGCTCAGGAGTAGCCCCATCTGCCCATCCACCCCTCAGCCAATTCCCGTCTCGAGACCGATCGCCGCTGCACGCACAAACCCCATACCACGACCCCGAATTCCAACTTCACCACCACAATAACCACCACCACAGCCGGCTTGCCACCATCCGCCGCCCACCATGACGTCGTTTCTCGACAACGCGTACAGCTTGGTCAAGGACAGTGCCACCGAGGGCACGCCAACCTTGACTGAGCTGCGGACACAACTCGAAAAAGGCACCGACGACACCAAGGTTGAAACCATGAAGCGCATTTTGACCATCATGCTCAATGGTGACCCTATGCCTCAATTGCTCATGCACATCATTCGATTCGTCATGCCTTCCAAATCGAAACCGCTAAAGAAGCTTCTCTATTTCTACTACGAGATCTGCCCCAAGCTCGATGCCCAGGGGAAGCTAAAACAGGAGTATATCTTAGTATGGTATGAGCGTCTCCCTTGACGTGGAAGCCGCCGCCTTGTGCTGACTAGGTCCTGTAGTAACGGCATCCGGAACGATTTGCAACACCCGAACGAGTTCATTCGAGGCAACACGTTGCGCTTCCTCTGCAAGCTCCGGGAGCCTGAGCTCCTCGAGCCCCTGCTCTCCTCTGCGCGATCGTGCCTGGAGCACCGCCATGCCTATGTACGGAAGAATGCCGTATTCGCCGTGTCCTCCATCCACCAGCACTCGCCATCGTTAATTCCCGACGCCGCAAAGCTCATCGCGACGTTCCTCGAAGGGGAGAGTGACCCCACATGCAAGCGGAACGGTTTCGCTGCGCTTTCCAGTATTAGCCACGACAAGGCGCTCGCATATCTCAGCACGGTGTTTGATGGAATCCCGAACGCGGAGGAGCTCCTGCAGCTGGTTGAGCTCGAGTTTATCAGGAAAGATGCCGTCCAAAACTCGCAAAACAAGGCGCGGTACCTGCGACTCATTTTCGACCTTCTCGAGGCAAACACATCCACAGTCGTTTATGAAGCGGCATCTTCGCTCACGGCGCTCACCAGCAACCCTGTAGCCGTCAAAGCGGCCGCGGCCAAGTTCATCGAACTTGCGATCAAAGAGGCTGACAATAACGTCAAGCTTATCGTGCTCGACCGGGTTGACCAGCTCCGTCAAAAGAATGAAGGCATCCTAGACGATCTCATCATGGAGATTCTGCGCGTCCTATCGAGCCCCGATATTGATGTGCGCAAAAAGGCCTTGGAGATTGCGCTAGAGATGGTTTCCAGCAAGAACGTCGAGGAGGTGGTGCTCCTTCTCAAGAAGGAATTGTCCAAGACGGTCGACCAGGAGTATGAGAAGAACAGCGAATACCGCCAGCTCCTCATTCATTCCATCCACCAGTGTGCCGTGAAGTTCTCCGAGGTTGCTGCCAGCGTGGTGGACCTCCTCATGGACTTTATTGCCGATTTCAACAACACTTCTGCTGTCGACGTTATTAACTTTGTCAAGGAGGTAGTTGAGAAGTTCCCGGCGCTGCGGCCAGCAATCGCTCACAGACTCGTCGACACTCTTAGGGAGGTCCGCGCCGGCAAGGTCTACCGGGGTATTTTGTGGATTATCGGCGAGTACTCGCTCGACGAGAAAGATATCCGGGATGCGTGGAAGGGGATCAGGGCTAGCCTTGGCGAGATTCCCATCCTGGCATCGGAGCAAAGGTTGCTGGACAACATGGATAATGACGAAGAGAACCAGGACGAGGGACAAGTCAACGGGCATGCCAAACCGACCCCCGGCGGCTCCCGGAAGGTGCTCGCTGATGGGACATACGCCACCGAGACCGCTCTCACCAGCCAGTCTGCGGCTGCCGCTAGGCTGGAAGCCGTGAAGGCATCCTCGAAGCCTCCTCTCCGACAACTCATCTTGGACGGTGATTATTATCTCGCAACCGTCCTCGCAGCCACGCTCACCAAGCTGGTCATACGTCACTCTGAGATCTCGTCCGAGGCTGGTCGCACCAACGCTCTCCGGGCAGAAGCCATGCTCGCCATGATCTCCATCATCCGAGTTGGCCAGTCGCAGTTCGTGAAGGCACCTATCGACGAGGATTCCGTGGACCGAATCATGAGTTGCGTGCGGTCGTTGGCCGAGTTCAAAGAACACAAGGAGCTGGAGACGGTGTATCTTGAGGACACCAGGAAAGCTTTCAGGGCCATGGTACAGGTGGAGGAGAAGAAGCGCGAAGCGAAGGCGGCGTTTGAGAAGGCCAAGACTGCTGTGCAGGTGGATGATGTGGTTTCAATCCGGCAGCTCTCTAAGAAGAATGCTGTCGACGGCGCTGACGCTATCGAACTCGATCTAGAGCGGGCGGCGGGCGGCGATACCAGCGCCGATGATGACTTGTCAGGCAAGCTTAGTCGCGTTGTCCAACTTACCGGCTTCTCAGATCCTGTGTATGCCGAGGCGTACGTCAAGGTCCACCAGTTTGACATCATCCTCGACGTACTCCTCGTCAACCAGACCACCGACACCCTGCAAAATCTTACCGTCGAGTTCGCCACGCTCGGCGACCTCAAGGTCGTGGAGCGCCCGACGAGCCAAAACTTGGGCCCGCACGATTTCCACAATGTGCAATGCACCATCAAGGTGTCGTCGACCGACACTGGCGTCATTTTCGGCAACGTTATTTACGAGGGCGCGCACTCGACCGACACCAACGTCGTCATTCTCAACGACCTGCACGTCGACATCATGGACTACATCCAGCCGGCGACCTGCACAGAGACAGAGTTCCGTACCATGTGGACCGAGTTTGAGTGGGAAAATAAGGTCAACATCAACAGCAAGGCCAAGACTCTGCGCGAGTTCTTGGACCAGCTCATGGCGTGCACCAATATGAACTGCCTAACGCCGGACGCGAGCTTGAAGGGCGACTGCCAGTTCTTGAGCGCGAATCTGTACGCAAGGAGTGTATTCGGTATGTTTTACCCCTCCCCTTCATTCTCACGCCGTACAGTAATGGGATGGCTAACAATGTCAACAGGCGAGGACGCCCTAGCCAATTTGAGCATCGAGAAGGAGGGTGATGACGGCCCGATCACCGGGTTCCTGAGGATACGTAGCAGGTCTCAGGGGCTAGCGCTGAGCCTGGGGTCGCTCAAGGGGCTGAACAAGATCGGCTCGGTTGCTGCTTGAAGAGGGCGCGCGAGCAAGTGTTTTGACGGCAATGACAACAACAGCCCGGTAGTAGGTGGCGGTAGCCTTGTGAAGCGAACGTCGCTGCGGCGTCCCCGGCGTCGTGATGATGCCCGGAAGCGCCGCGGTCGCAAATTTAGTTAACGTCGCCATGTCCCTGGCGTACTTCGGCGTGATACCGTGTTGTTAAGCTCGGAGGGGTGGAAGGTATGTATGGAGTTTTGGTTGGAAGAGCAAGGAAGTTGGGGCCCGAAAAGAGCAGGTTGCGAAAAGGGCGATGGGGGGTGGGGGGTTTGATGGTGTTTAGACAACTACTATACAGCCTGCGAATTCACCGTTTATGTTTGGACGACGTGCAGAGGCCAAATCGTAATGATTATCGTACATCGCAGCTTGGGGTGGATAAACACACTGCCGTCCGGACGTATGGAAGAGGGTAACAAAGGCAAACTCTCGACCCTCTCTTCTCCTCTCCACCTCTCCCTCGTTCCCTGCGGCTCTCACTTTGAACAGCCTAGGTATTAGAAGGGGATCCTGCTGCCATCTCACAAAAAAGAAAGCCTCATTATCCTTCGGCGTGATTTCCTTGAGACCTTCATTAGGCGGGCGATCCAGGTGTCCATGTCATCCTCCCCGTCCCAGCCTGTCAACCGGGTGGAGGGGAAGCCGGGCTCCACGCAGATCAGGGGGCCCTGGGGGCCCTCGGGTTCCCACTCGAAAGCCTTGGTCACCACACCTTGGTTAGAAGCCGTTTTGGTTGCTGGTTAGCCCAGGAAAAGGCGAAACGTTTTCGCTGAAGACGAACTTGCGTGTCAGGGGCGTTTGGGGGTCGAGGGGAAATTCAGGGGGCCCCCCCGGGGGGGGGGGGGGGGGGGGTTGGAGGTTAACTGACTAGAAACAGAGCCGAAGGCGGAGGAGACGTTGACAATTTTGGCGTCGGTAGCGCTCTCCAGCTTCGGCAGAAAGTGCTCCGTGGTTATAATCGGCCCTGCCGTCATGATGCGGAATTTCTCAACCATCACCTCGGCCGTCTGCTCATGCCAGTGCCCCGGCTTAGGCGGGAGGCCGCCGAGGTCGACGAGCATGTCCAAAGGTTTGTCCCCGTAGGCAGCGGCCGCCTTTTCTATGGTCTCTTCATCGAGGTAGTCGAGCTCGAGGATCTTGGCGCCCGTTTTCTCTAGCCTTAGGGGTAGAGAAGGGGAGTTAGTATGTCCATGAAATGATGAGGAAAGTACAGATTACAGGGCTTAACCTGGTGGCCCGAGTTTGTGGTTTGCGGCTTCTTACCTCGGCAACAGTGGGATCCTTGTCCGCACAAGTTTGTGGGCGAACTGTGCCGGTTACCTCCCAGGATTCTGCTATGAAGGCCTTGACGAGATTGAAGCCAATGCCGCGGTTCGCTCCTAAAGGTGCAGGATTGAGTAAGCAAGACCTTTCGGGGTTTGAGGCGCCCGGGTGCTACCCACCGACGACGAATACACTTTTCGATGTCATTTTGACTGCCCGGTATGTGTTTGCTCTCGGCAGAAACGTTCAGCTTGGTAGCGTTTCGAGAGAAGACAAAAGGTACCTTCATCGAGCGCGGCGAAGAGATTATCTATCTCTTAAAGAACGAGGCATTTAGCACGTGGCCTACCCTAGGGCAGACCGTCATAACAATAACAGACCAAGACCAACCGCCAGCACCCACAACACCATCGCAAGCACCGACACTACCCACACCAATTTCCAAAACAACAAAGCCACGATTGAGACACGTCAAATGAGTTCGTGTCTTACGCGCTGTAGTCTGTCGGTGCGTCGAACCCAATGCACGCCCGTTTTTATTTACCCTATCCTCCCTATCCCCAGTGAGAGAGGCACCTGTCCCAGGTTACCCCCACACCTTCAGTGCTGGAATGATAAAATCAGTGACCAGAGAGTCTAGATTCTCACATTGTGTAGCGACCCACGGCACTCCCACATCGAGGAAGCCAGTTAGCCAACGTTCCATTTGACTCTAGCCAGATCTCCCAACCTCGGTGGGGATATTACCCCCAGATCACGAGCGCTCAACCCCCGCTGCCCTGTTGTAGAAATGCGCTTTTATTTGCCCGCTTCCGGTGGCCGGAGGTTTGCATTTAAGACGCTATCTGACTTTGCAATTTTCGCTCTCGCATTTACTCAATGTAGGCCATGCCATACTACAAGGAAATGTGTTAACTAACATGAGCTGTCATAGTTCTGCCCAGTGAGCAGCCTGAGATACCCCTGGTCAGCGTTTCCGACAACATGACGGCCAACTTGCCGGAGATCGCCCTTCTTCGGGACGTGGTGGAAGGCCACCGACCCAATCTCACCCAATATGCCGACTTCTATCGTGATGTACACCGGCATCCTGAAGTTGCGGCAATGGAGAAGGAAACGGCTGAGAAAGTGGCCGCACATCTGACCCGTCTTGGTTTCAAAGTCCATTCTGGCATCGGCGGTCACGGCGTTGTGGGGGTATTTCAGAATGGCGTAGGAAAAACCATCTTGACGCGGGCCGAGCTCGATGCATTACCGATTCTGGAGCAGACAAGCGTTCCCTACCGCAGTGAGCGGCGGATGGTGGACCGATACGGAAACGAGCGTCCCACCATGCATGCCTGTGGCCATGACATGAACATGGCTGCTCTGTTGGCCGCTGCCGATCTGCTGAACTCTGCCGCCCACCGGTGGAAAGGTACCCTGTTGGTGGTTTTCCAACCTGAGGAGGAAGAATTGTCAGGGGCGAAGGCTATGCTAGACGACGGCTTCTACGACTTGGTTCCCGTGCCAGATATCATGCTAAGCCAGCATGTGGTGCCGGCACGCGCCGGCACAGTAGCGATACGATCTGGCCCGATACTCGCCGCTGACACAATGCGCATCAGGGTCATTGACGGCCCTTGCGAAGGCAGCATCAACCCGCAGTTTTGCGTCGACCCGGTACTTCTTGGAATGCGCATCGTGTCGGGGCTTCAGGATGCCGTGACGAAGGAGGTCGGACAGGACGAGGATGCCACCGTGGCCTGCTGGGGGTTTCATGCCGGGGTGCCCGGGAATGATTATGTCGCCTATGCCAACATCCTTCTCGACATCAAAACGGTCAAGTCCGATATACCTCAACGTGTGCTTGGCCTCATCACAAAACTATTTCTGGACCAGTGCCGCGCCGCCGGTGTCCCACGGGATCCCGAAATCAACCACAGCGTTCGCGCGCCGCTAACCAGCAACCATGAGTCCATCGTCAAACCCATTGACCGCGTTTTCAGGGATTACTTTACGTCCAAAATGACTGAAATGGCATTTGTGCGCTCCACCGAGGACTTTTCTGTCTTCGGCGCTACCCACAACATCCGCGGTGGAAGAAATGATTGGAGACCAAAATCACTATACACGCATCATACCCAGGGGTCTGGTAGCACGAGGCGTGAGATTAGGAGATAACCTGGAGTTAGTAACGCCTGTGCATGAGTTAGAATCACGACACTGGAGTTTACACACAGATATAGCATGACTTGATATCACCATGCCTTCTTGAAAAATTTGACGCTGTGACCTGAGTTTGTTGAGTTTCATCTCGTAGCATGTCGCACTGTAATCAAGTATCAAATCCGCACTGCCAATGATGTTGGAAAATTAGAGCCTCCTTCTAGCCCCCAAAGGGCCAACGTCAAACCAACGAACTACTACATAGTACCGTACATAGCCAGGTAGTACATACAAACACATTCCGCTCATTTCCCACGCTGACCTTTCCCCACTCCGCAGATCCTGTGAGCCGAGCTTCTGTGGCGTGCCAACGTTCGGTCCAACAGGAAAGCCTTGTATTCGTCGGTGACTCCTCGTATCTTCATCAGATTGTTGCGTGACCCGAGGCGAATATTTCTGTCAGATGGGGCAAACCGTTCCCAACTCCCAGGCCGAGAGACGCGTTTGTGGAGGACGGAGTGGGTTAGGTGGTCAGGTTAGGTAGCCTCTTGATTCAGCAAGCAAATCAACGAACCGGCCATCAGAACTCAAAGGAGTTAGATCGTCTGACTGAGACAGTCAGCCCCCAGCACTTACGCCAGAGACCCACCCCTTGTAGCTGGCTCCTCGTTGTGTCGGTGTTTCTGGGGCCGCGAATCCTAACCGTTTCCAGAACAAGGAGCAGGATCTCGTATTGATTGCAGGCCCGTTAGCGGACCAGCCAGTGGATTCCCATTCAGCCCCCACTCCAGCTTCGTCACCTTCTCCAAAGCTTAATTTCATATCTTGGGACCCCCTTTCTCCACCCACCCACCCATCCTCCCAAAATAACATCTCGCTTCTCGATGTCAACCCACCGCATCAACCTCGTCGCGGATAGCTCATTTTTGCCTCCGTCATGGCCCAACAAAGTGAGGTAGCCGCGAGCTCCTCTTGGCCGGCGCAGTTTCTGCATTATGCCTCGCGCCGCCGCCAGAGGTTCTACGGCATCATCGCCATTGCCGTGGTGATGCTCGCCGCCGCGACCTTTATCTACGGCGGGTTTGCGACCGGTATAGACTTTGGCTCCTACGTGCCGCGTCCCAAGGACGCCCTGCCGCCGGCGCATAACAGCGGCGTGACCGGCGCGGACGGGGTGAGCCACGGCGGGAACGGCGCGAACGGCGGGCACACCCCCGTGCAGACGCAGATACCCGTGGCGCCCGGGACGCAGGCGCAAACGGAGACGCAGACGCAGACGGAAACGAAGACGGAAACGGAGACGGAGACGCAGACGCAGACGGGCAGCGGCTTGGTGCAGTCGACGCAGACGCAGACGCAGACAGAGACGCAGACAGAAACGCAGGCCCCTGCCGTGCAGGTCCAGCCCGGCATCCCGACCAAGATCTGGCAGATCTTGCTGCCAAAAAGCGGAAGTAAGTCCAAGCAGAACTTCGTGGCGGATCCTAAGATCCTCGTCGAGACGCCCAGCTGGCTGGCCAAGAACCCCGACTACACATAGTAAGCATGCTCTTGCCTTTTTCCGTAATCCCTCCCCCCCCACCACCACAACCGCGCGCGCCGCGGGGTCCCCGATACACATCAGACACACGCAAACACACACAAAAAAAGAAGTAAACCCAACCTGACCACCCACCTCCCCCCCATCACAGCACGCTAGTGGGCCAAAAAGGCGGCGACGAGTTCGTGCGCAAGCACTTCGGCAGCAACTCGCGGCTGGTGGAGGCGTACGAGCAGATGCCCAACGTGGGGATGAAGTCGGACCTGCTGCGGTACCTGATCCTGGCGGCCGAGGGCGGCGTGTACACCGACACCGACACGGTGGCGCTGCGGCCCATCGACGAGTGGGTGCCCCGAAAAAGTACCGCGAACAGGGCCGCTCGTTGGTGGTGGGCATCGAGTTCGACCGACCCGCGAACGGGCCCGGGTGGGACTGACATCTCGCACTGGGTCCAGTTCTGCCAGTGGACGATTGCCGCGAGCCCCCGGCCACCCCCGTGTTTTGGGAAGATGGTGGACCGGATTCCTCGCGTCGTTGGATGACTTGGTGGCCGGCGCACGGGGTGCCGATCGGGAAGTTGGGGCACAGTTGGACCAGCTTCGAGGTGATGAACTCGACGGGCCCGGCGAGCCCTTCACCGACGTGGTTTTTGCGCAGCTGCAGGAATAACGACCCTGTCGCTCTCGGACACCAAGGACCTGTCCTATATGGAGGAGCCGAAGCTGATCGGCGACATCCTCGTGCTGAGCATCGACGGCTTTGGTATGGGCCAGGCCGCACTCCCAGAGCACCAGCGACGGGTCCATTTCCCCGAGGATGCCTTGGTGAGGCACTTGTTCAATGGCGCATGGGAGAGGAGGAGACGGGAAGAAACGCAGGATATAGAATATGTTTTTGGGTGGGAGAAGTTTTAATCATAGATTTGTATTATTTGACAGTTTATTTGCAGTTGTTTTTCGGGCAGTTGGGGCGCGAGGGGCGTCGGGGGTTCTTGGAAATGCCAGGGATGTAAATAGGGGGATGGGGGATGGGGGATGGGGGATGAAGCAGGACGATACCGTTGATGAGTGCCATTCCTTGGTTTGGGTCGGACGGGGAGTTTCTTATGGAAGCAGGAAAGCAACTCAAAACTGAAAGCCGGGTTTTCTATCTATTTGGATGGCGTTCCAGATCGCCTCCTTTGCCTATGAACCAGCGAGTAGTACCCATCCCTGTTCCCATCGGGTGTTTTCGTTTCAACGAGAACAGCGCGTAACGGGCGTGCAGTTCGAGGCAGGTAGCGCCCTAAGCGGCATAACTGAGCCACAACGCTCTCGGTTCAGACTGCGACTCCAACGCAGAGCGGGGGCAAAAGAAAAGGGATAAACTGGTGCAAAGCAATAACATGCCATCCATCGCCAACGTCCTGTGACACAACTATAACGCCGGTAGAACGGGGCATGTTAAATTAGTGGAAGAAGACAGGGCAGAGTATATGTAAAGGGCGTAGGTATTCAGTGAAATGGTTCGCTGCCCCTATGAGGTCAATCAAGCTTCAATGAAATAGCTAGCGGGAAGTAAAATGTCCCTGATTGTGAAGCGTTAATAAGGCTTGGTGAAAACTCGGTGGTGACCGAATCTTGGTGCCCGCCGGCTCAAGTCTCGGTGCCTGTGTGTCCCTGCAGGGTGGTAGAATGGTCAGATGACCATGGCTGCGATTAACCAAGCAACGCGGGCATTGTAAGCGACCGAGTCGTGGTCTTGATGGTCCGTTTGTTGCTGTCGATCACCCATCTGCTGCCGGTAGCCGCGATGTAGCCTGGAAGCACGGCGTGTTTCGAAGGTGGTAACGAACCGCGAGAAACGGTTTTCTTTGGTCTCCTCCCGCGGGAGGGAGCCATGCATATCCCCGTCGAGGATCCCATAGCGGAAGCCGGGGGCGGCGACAAGCCCAAGATTTCGCAGGGCCGAAGCCAGCCGGTCCCGTCTCCTGGTGCGGGGCTCGGATAAGAGGGGTGTAGATTCCGTTGAACTGGAGCTGGCTGAGCCGCCGACGTGAAAGGAGTCGGCCTCTTCGATTGCTAAGAAGGATTCAAGAGGCTGGTCGTCCAGCAATGGTGACCAGCGGTTCTAGCGGCTAAACACCAAGGCGTTGATGACATGGCCTTGCTTCCAGCCCTGGGCCGTGAGGGGAGAACCATCCTGAAGGATCTTCCCCATGTAGGCGATGCGTATCTTTTTGTCGGATTGGAGCTTGGAGGCGCATTGTTAACAAGATCATTTTTTAGGTGGGGGGAGGGGGCCTTACCTTGGCCTTCTCTGCAATAGCCCGGGCAATACGCCGGACGGTATCTCCCTCGTTTACCACAACGCTAACATCCCGAGACCCGTCACTGAGTCTTGCCCTGATAGTGATTTGATGTCTGATATCCACAACAGCCTTGCCTTTCTCCTCCCGCCGTCGCTCAACTTCGTCATCATCGTCGCCATATTCTCGCTCTGTCTCCTCGCCGGCTGCCAAGTCGGTTTTAGCGTCACCCAGTCCCTCGGTCGAATTGGGGCTCCATAGCAGATTGGAGGGATCTGCCACGACCTGGTGCGGCAGCTGGTAATAATTCCCAAACGCATCGTATGCGCCGTTGTACAAATCCCCGGTAGGAAGCGTAATGTCGGCTGCATCGATGATGCTTTGCGCGGTCGCCAGAGCTACAACCGGGTCCTCTTCGCTTGGGCCTCCATCCTCGCTCACTCGCTGGTGCTGGCTGTTCCGCGCCGCCTCGTCCGCAGCCCAAAGCACCTCAAGAGCCGCACGCAGAGTTTGCCATATCTCCTCTCTGCCGGTAACCCGCGTGTCGAAGAACTCAATCCTCTCCCTCCGTAGGGCCGCCTCGGTCCATTGCCGGTCGCGGCTGGCCCATTTGTGCCGTCGCAGGGGTTTGTTGATGTGCTGGTTCAGCGGTTGGTGGGATTGCCTCCGACGGCGTTGAGAGCTCGACGGGAGAGATTCGTCGATTCCAGTTTGCGAGCTGGATGCGCCGGCTGTTTGGGTAGCCTCGTTGATGGCTCGACCGGAGCCAGTGGCGGCGCCACCTGGATATGGCGAGTTAGGACCGCCGTCTCGGGAAAGACAGCAACCCTAGAGAGAGTCAGCATGGTGCGTACTATGTAGAGTCGGCGGCCAGCTGTGACGTTAGCCGGGAGAGGCGAGGGGCGAAGAAGGTTGAGAAGGGAACTGGGGAAAGACCGATCGCCATTGCAGAGGCGACACCAAATTCCAGCTTGAGGGGTAGGTAGGTAGTCTTAAAAACAGCAATGAGAAACCCTAAAAAAAGATAGGGAACGTATCATACCATCGTGTCCGATCTACCAAGATGCCGGTATCGTGCTCGTCGATTTCGCACACGTTTGGCAGCTCGATCCAGCCGCTTGAATAACTAGTTCATGGCGGTAGCAGGTCCGGTGGATTTTTGGAGAAGCTTAGTATCGGAGCGTCCTTCGTTACTCACGTCGCCACTGGGCTTGTGTCTTGAAACTTGAGTATCCGTCCAACACACCACTCAGCGCTGAGATTGTGGTGGTTCTTGGATGTAGCGTTACCGGCCCTAGCGATAAGAGCTGAGCGAGTGAGTGTGTGGGAGAAGGAATCATGTTTGTCACTTTGGAGCTGTGTTGCGCAGGAACCCCACTGGCGGGTCTGTGGCCAGTGGGTTCGTGACCCGCTCGGTCTCCGCTAGGCCTATCTTGGCACGCTTGGCCTGACAGCCCGGGCCTCTGTGGGTCTACTTAATCCAATCCTGGCCGATCGGCGATGATACCAGACCTCCTTGGGTGAACCGGGCCAAAAAAGAACCGCGGCTGGCCAGACGAGCCACGTTGAATATCGTTTACTGTGTATATCATCTTTGAGAGCTCATGAGGAGACCATACCTAATTTCTGGCAGCCATATTTAGGCCTTGGATATCTTTAGGGAGCATAGGAAGTCCGGGGAGGCACTGAATCGGGGCCGCCAAGACAGGTCAGAATGGGGGCAATACCGCTAAGAGAAAATAGGAAATTATTTTGAGCTTTCGTCACGACGGCGCCATCCGCAAATAGCTCTTTGGTAGAACCAAATTCTTCTCAAGCTAACCATGTACGAAGCAATGGGTGGCTATCACTCCCCGTGGACATGGACACTACTTGTGCTTCCTCACATGCATTCAAGACACAAACACACTCCGTTCTATTTTGGTCCAGCCGAGCAGTGGTAACCAACTCGTCATGTCATGTAATTATGGGCAACCCACGCATTTCTCCAACGTACCATCCCTGCCGCCATTACCACAAGAACCCTCGACAACGCTTGGTCCCGCACTTGCAGGGCGTCATATCCTTAATTTTTGACGGATCATGCGCATCGGAATCCATTTCCTCCAACCCATCGACGTAGTCGAAGGTCAGCTCTTCTCCCTCGGGGATATCCCGAATCGCAAACAGGGCTAAATCGTGGATATGTTTGTCCGCGTGGTCGCCAACCCGTGCAAAGATGCGCATATTGGGCTGGCAACTATGATTGATGAAACGGGTTGGCCCGCTCCTCCACTCGCCGTCCACCTCGAGCGGCGCTGCGGCCAGCAACGGATCGAGTGAATCTGGGTCTGAAAATTTGTCCAGCGCAAAGAGGTATACGTCCTTCCGTCGGGAGATGGTCGCATCTGCTCGCCGCCTGTCGGCCTCTTCACTGGTAATGATCTCGCCCAGGTACCGGTCGACGAATTGGCCTTCTCTGATGTTGACAGGGCACCTGACGCCCCAACCTCGATCCTCGGTCCGGAAAATCTGGAGCGGTACCGTTCTGCCCCGCTCTACCACCCTATTGGGGCAGTCCAGCGAGCAGTTGCACCCCTTGTGGCACTCGTAGATGGGCTCGCGGCTCATGAGGATCCTACTCCTCAATAAGCCTGCCTTGGGCCCACTCGCATGGTAGGCAAAGCGTTTCCTGCGTGACCGAGTGGTCGATGGATCGTATTCATCCTCGTCGCTATCCGGGGCCATTTCATCCAGACACTGGCATGTGTTGTACGTGCAATCTTCGTCGCGGGCGCAGTTGCAGCCTGCGCGGAAGGAGTCTTCGGCCACGGGGACGTCATCGGCAATGACTGAGTGGTCGAGGAACCGGAAGTTAGGGTTAAGGACCTCGTCATCCTCCTCGTTGACCATGGTTATCGGGATGGTTTTGTGAGTGGCAAACCCCCGAATTTGGCACCAATGGCAGTTTTTTTGCTCCTCGGGGTCTGACTGTCGGGCAATATTAGCGACCCATCTACGGCTGCAAGTAATGTAATCCTAGGAACTTACATCGGGCAACCCGTGAGTAAAGAAATGAGGGCGCATCGCGTCTTCCATCTTGACGTCGCAGTTGTGGAAGCACGGTCGGTTGTTGGAGTGGGGGTTGTGTTTGACCGTGGGGTATTCGGGGTATTCGGAAAGCACCGCGTTGATGATTCCGGAGAAATACCTAATTTAACCTTGAGTGCAAGCAACAAAAGGGATGGGATAACCTGGTGAGATTTAACACAAGTTGGCAACCACTTAAAGTTATGCTAAGATATGGTGAGTGGGAGATCGATCGATCGCCTTCGTTTCGGCGGGGGAAACTAAATTGGAATGCGTCCTGCCGCGGGTTCCCGTGTCCCTGGGAACATGATCCGCGATGTGTGAGACGCGTGAGCACGTGGGGGGATATGGGGGGCAACTTGGCACGCCCAACGGCAACATCGAATTGTGTGGTAATACACCGCGGCTTGAAGAGAGGCTGTCACGCTCTCTCTCAAATACCTATTTGCAACACCATCGCAATAACAAGATCGAAGGAGAAACTAAAGTTTGCCTTTTCGAACTCAACAGACGATCTTTTTGGCCTTTACCCCGAGAAGAATAGTTTATTCCCTTTTTAAAAATAAAATACCTAAATAAAAACAAATACATGCCGCCTACTGCGAGGATGGGCTCGCCCAAACATTCACCACCGCCTTGATCGAAAGGTTAGATGTTGCAGATTGCGATGCTTCGCCAAAGACCTCCAACGCCCTCGCCCCCAATAATACTGGCACCTTTACCCGCCCAGCCTCGTCCACTGCCGCTTGGAGCTTCTTCGCGACCTCGTCAAGACTCACTTCGTCCTCAGTGGCTGTCCAGAGCTTGGACTCAGCGCCTGCACGAAGCGCCTGGATCAACCCGGGGCCATACTGCTTCAACATAATGCTCGACCCCGCTGCGTTAACGCAGAGGTCAAGCACCTGCTCGAGATCCAAGCCCACGAAGCTAGCAAACGCGAGAGACTCTCCAGCGGCGCAGAGGTTGATGGCCTTGAGGAGGTCAACCACCAACGCCAGCTTCTCCTCCTCTGTCTTGGCTGAGCTCTCCGCCGCCCCATTTCTGTCCGCCTCGGTGTACAACCGCAACAGGCTGCTGTCGTCATCCTGCCCGTATCCCTTGTCAACCGCCTGCTGGTAGCCCTCCTCGGCCCTCCCGGTCATGGGCACCCGGAACCCACCCCTCTGCGCCTCGGCGGTGATGATCTTGGTGTCCTTGACAATGATATTCACGGCGCTCGCAATGGGCTGGAATTGCGTCAGCATCCTCGGGGTGCGGTGTTCAAACATCCAGTTCCACGCCCCCGACTGCAGCACCGCCTGCTGCGCCTTGGCCAGGTCCAACCCCAGGCGCTCCGCAAAACCCATCGCCTCGCTCGCGGCAAGGATCTGGCACGCGGCCAGCACCTGATGCACCATCTTCATGTTGCTCCCCGCGCCCACGCCGCCCTGTACAATGTACAACTTTGCCGGGTCGGCCATCTCGGCCAGCAGCGGACGGGCCTTCTCCAGCGCGGCGTCGGACATGCCCGCCATGATGGACAGCGTGCCGTCGGCGGCGCGCGCCGCCCCGCCCGACACGGGGCTGTCGACCAGCAGGATGTCGCCGCGGCCGACGGCGCGCAGCTGCTCGCCCAGCGACTGCACGTACTCGCAGGGAACGGTGGAGCAGAGGAGGAGTGCGGCGCCCTGGGGCAGCGCTGACACGGCGGCGTCGGGCCCGTCCAGGAGTACCGCCTGCGCCTGCTGCGCCGTGGCGACCATGCACACGCAGAACGGTTTGTCGGCCACGGCCGAGGCCGGGGTCGTGGCTGTGAGTCCGCCGGCGGCCGCGAAGCGCTCGAGGGTCGGCGCCCACACGTCGAAGCCGGTCACCGCGTAGCCCTGCTTGACGAGGTGTGTCGCCATGCCGAAGCCCATGGCGCCGAGGCCGATGAAGGCGACGGGGGGTTTGGAGTCGGCCATTGTTGTGTAAGTGTGGGTGGGCTTCTCGGGGCGGTAGTGATGAGTCGGAGTGATCGTGAGTGAGATTGCTGTGGAAAAATGCGAGCCCCTGACAACACGAAACAATATTCTGTCCTGCTCTTGATTCACACGAGTTGTCGAGGTCTATCCAAGGGGACCAAGACAGACCGGACGAATGCATGGCCAAGGCCAGCCGGCAGCAGGTCAACCCGCAGAAGCTCACCTCGCCACAGTTAATGCCGAAGCCGGCGGCCGGCCGGGTGAAGTCAAAAGCGGGCTCTCGATCCTTGAATGTCAATCCTCCCCGCTTCGCAAATTCCATCGCGGCTCGAGTTGGCGATGCCCCTCTCCAGACAGCGGCCAATGATGACGTTACTTGAACACCCCGCCATCCCGCCGAGACCCCTCGGTGGCACTCCCGTATTCCGGCTAAAGTCTCTCGCATGAGCATGCCGCCGCCCAGCTTGGCGCGCGAATTGGACGAACCCGGATTGGGCAACCCGAGGGCCACCTTTTGACCTCAGTGACAAGAATGCCGGCCTTGAACAATGTCTGATGAATCTTGCTTGCATCTGAGGTATTAACTGAGCGTTGCAATCAGCGGCGAATCGGAAAATCTTAGCCACGCGCTGTCACCTGTCATTGCGGTTGGTTGACCTTTACTGCACCGTGACCATCAACACGAACTCTGTTACTCACCATCACTATCCCCAGTCAAGGCCAACAACACCAAAATCACTGCACTCAGTCACAAGCACCCACCACCACCACAACCACAACCCCCAACAAATCAACCCCTACCATCACCACCACCGTCACAATGGTCCGCCCACCCTTTGCCCAGAACCGCACCATGGCGATCCTCAACGCCGCCAAGGCGGGAGGCTACGCGGTGCCGGCCATGTGCTGCTACAACATCGAGTCCATCATCGCCACAGTCCGGGCGGCCGAAGCGGCCAAGTCGCCAGCGATGGTGCTGCTGTTCCCCTGGGCGATCGAGTACGCGGGCGACGCGCTGGTCAAGGCGGCGGCCGAGGCGGCGCACTCGGCGTCGGTGCCCGTGTCGCTGCACCTGGACCACTGCCAGACGCCCGAGCTGGTGCGCCGCGCCGCCGACATCGAGGACGGCTTCGACAGCATCATGTGCGACATGAGCCACTACGACAAGGAGGAGAACCTGCGCCTGACCGCCGAGCTGGTCCAGTACTGCCACGCCCGCGGCATCGCCGCCGAGGCCGAGCCTGGCCGTATTGAGGGTGGCGAGGATGGTGTGGCCGAGACGGCGGATCTCGAGGGGTTGTTGACGACGCCCGAGGAGGCCGAGGAGTTTGTGAATACCGGGATTGACATGCTTGCGCCGGCGTTTGGGAATGTGCACGGCGAGTATGGCCCGCGGGGGATCCAGCTGGAGTATGAGCGGCTGCAGGCGATCAACGAGAGGGTCGGGGAGCGGGTGCGGCTGGTGCTGCACGGCGCGGACCCCTTCGACCAGGAGATCTTCCACAAGTGCATGGCTGGCGGCGTGACCAAGATCAACATCAACAAGGGCATGAACAACCACTATGCGAGGGTGCAGGACGAGATGAAGGGGAAGCCGCTGACCCGTGTTATTGAGGCGGGCACTGACGCCATGCAGAAGGCGATCGAGCAGTACGCTGTCTGGCTTGGGAGCGCCGGGAAAGCTTGAAGTTGAGTTGGATGTATTAGTTAGTTATGGATGGACTAGTTATAGATGGGCATCTTCTTTGCAGTTAGACGACTGGATTCAAAAATTCACAATTCAAACCGCGTCCGAGTTGACCACACAGAATCGAGCTTGGTTCAAGGTTAGCTGAATTTGGGTAAAAATAACTTGTAATAGCTCTTACTAGCATGACTGTTTCCTTTTTTTTTTCATTTTTCAAATCAACGCAACTATCAACTCGACTCGGCCGGATCAGTTCAAGGAATGGAGACATCCACAAAATCGAGACTCGTTCTAGACGAGAACTTTCCAACTCAACGATCCATTTAAAAATTATACGCGGTTACCGGCTAAAATACAATACAACAGTCACAAAAAAAAAAAAAAAAAAAAAAAAACCTCTTCCCAATCATACCTTACACCTGCAATGCAATGCATCATCCCAGCTCACCCGGATGGATTACATCGACGCATGCAGCCCCCGAATCACCACCATGGCCCCCCACGCGCCGGGATCGGGGGGCAACTCCTTGCCCTCGGCGCCCGCGCCCACGTAGGTCGCGCGCCCCAGTCTCGGCTTCAGCGTCTTGGTGCCCTCGGCGCCCCTCACCGCGGCCGCCACGCCCTCGGCAAAGCTCTGCGTCGCCTGCATGGCCTCGGCGAACGGGATGATGGTGTCCATCACCGTCCGGTCGCCCACCTTGGCCGGCGTGTAGTGCGCCAGGTGGCCCACCGCCAGCGTCAGCGCCTTGGCCCAGACCGCCACCGCACCATCGCCGCCTTCTGTTGTTGTTTGTTGGTGTTGTTGTTGTTGTTGTTGTTGTTGCTGTGCGATGTGCTCCTGCGCCGCGGTGCGCAGCGACACGAAGAAGATGCCCAGGATGCCGCCCAGGGTGCCGCCCATCTTGCCCTCGAGGATGTCCTCGAGCTCGGTGAGCACCTCGACGACGGACCCGCGCGCGGCGATGTGCCGGGTGTTGAGGGCGTCGAGGAGGGCCTTGGCGCCCGTCTCGAGCGTCAGCCCGCAGTCGCCGTCGCCCATGACCGTGTCCCACTTGGTGAGGTCCGGCTCCGCGGCGATGAGCGCCTCGGCCGCGCCTCGCAGCATGCGCTCCAGCAGCGCGGGGTCGACTTTCAGGTCGCGCGTGTCGTCGATGGTTTTCTTTTCCTCCGGGGGTGGCGGGACGAGTTGCTCGGCGCGCGGGCGGCGGCGCGGGTCGTTCTGGCTCCCGGCGACGGCTTCCCAGGCGGTGTCGGTTTTGAGGTCGAAGAAGCCCTTGATTTGTTCGACGGAGTAGGGGGTGTTGGAGGCGATGCCGGAGAGGTTGATGACGGAGACGGAGAAGGCCGGCGCGTTGAGCGAGGTTTCCAGGCAGCCAGCGTACACCCGGACAGGCTGCATGTTCCAGTCCTTGAGTAGTTGTTGGAGAAGCTCGTCGACCAGCCCGCCGAGCTCCAGGTTCGACATGCCGCCGAAGTTGCTGACGAGCAGCGCTGTCTCGTCCCCGGGCTTGAAGTTGACGTAGCCTCGCTCGGGATCCGTCTCGTCCAGGCAGTACTTGAGAATCTCGTTCACCAGCCCTTCTGCGGTGGGCGCGGGGGAGAGCTTCCTGTACCCCGGCTCGTTGTGCGGCCCTGTCCCGATCTCCACCTCGTTAGCCTCCAACGTACCGTGCTCGGTCCGGCCCGGGACATGGCAATGATCCAGGGTCGCAGCGATGCTGACGATCTGGCCGTTGATGGCGGTCCCGAGGTCGTAGAGCTCGTCAAGCGACGCGCCCTGGGAAGCCGCTGCCCCGAGAACCTTGAGCACACCAATCTGGCCGGCTAGGCCGCGCCGACCGACCAATGACCCGCCCTTTTTGCCGATAGAGACGTCATCGCCGCAGATCAGCATGCGGCAGGCCTTGCCTTTGGCCTTGGTCTTCTCGGCCGCGAGCCCAAAATGCAGGCAGTCGCCCGTGTAGTTGGTGATGACGAGCAGCGTGCCCTTGTCCGAGGGAACGGCCTCGACCGCGGCCAGGATCTGCTTGGTGCTCGGCGACGCGAACACGTCGCCCGCCACCGACGCCGCGAGCATGTTTGTGCCCACGTAGCCCGACCATGCTGGCTCATGGCCGGAGCCGCCGCCGCTGATGATGCTGACCTGGGAGGGCGGCGAGGCCGGGTCGAAGACGACGCGGTTGGTCTCGTCGAGGTTGAGCCGCGGGTTGCTGGCGACGATGCCGCGGAGGGCCTTGGGCACGAGCCCGTCGAGCGTGGAGAAGAGATGTCGGTTGGACATGTCCAGAGAGAAGACGGTGTGTTTTGTGTGTGTGGTGTGTGTGTGTGTGTGAGAGAGGGAGTGTGTGTGTGTGTATGTGCTTGTTCGGTGTGCTGGTTGGTGTTGGTGTGTGCGTCCGTGTTGATCCGAGATCGGGTTCGTGGAGGGGGAGGGGGAAGGCAATGTTAAACGAGAGGAGGATATCGTCGAGGACGATCACCAAGGAGAAGGATCACAAGTAGGAGGTCACGAGGGAGGCAGTTGGAACAGTCCCGAACGTTGTCCAGCTGAGTAGTCGTGACACACTCTGCGCTGGGTAAGGAACAAGATCAGCGTTGAGATTCTGGAAACCCCCCAAATCCGTGATGCGCTGGCCTATAAGCAACGATGGTGACAACACTTGCCGGAAAGAGCAGAGGCCGGCTTTGCCAATGGTCGCACCGGAGAGAGAGCAGTGCATATTGGTCTCGATCCGTCTTTCACGAATATCCGGCTAGCACCCTGACGATTATTGGGCTGGCCGGAATACCTGGAAGAGAATGGCGCCTTGGATAAATGCCCAATCTTCCACCATGCCATTTAAACTCGACCCATGGCATTTTGTTCTCTCCCATGTTTACAAGCCAAGCCCGTTTTGTCTCATCATTCAACGTCGTCCAAAACATGAGTTCACCAAAGTGGCGTATCGTTGTCGGCTGCGATGTGAGTTCCCTTGGTTCTGCTCAACCTCAACTCACCCTCGACCACTGCTAACCACATCCCATTCTCTAGGACGCCGGCGTCGGTTACAAGAACAAGATCAAGGCGGACTTTGCCGCTGACGACCGTGTCGCCTCGGTGATTGATGTCGGTGCCGACGACAAGACGGCCTACCCGCACGTCGCCGCGAAGGCCGCTAAACTGGTGGCTTCAGGGGAATGCGACAGGGCGCTCCTGATCTGCGGGACGGGCCTCGGCGTGGCTATCTCGGCCAACAAGATCAAGGGTATCCGGGCTGTCACCGCACATGACAGCTTTTCGGTGGAGAGGGCGGTGCTGAGCAACAACGCGCAGGTGCTGTGCATGGGGGAACGGGTGGTGGGGCTGGAACTTGCTCGGCGGCTGGCCAAAGAGTGGTTGGGGTACGTGTTTGACGAGAGCAGCCCCAGTGCTGCCAAGGTCGCGGCTATCCACGAGTATGAAGAGGGGGAGGGGGGCTTGTCGGGGCATGAGGAGGTGAAGGGATGTTGAGGATTCAGGAAAGCCGAAAGGGGGAAAAGTCTCGTGACGCCATACCATGCTCACTTCCCAGTCCTGCTAGATTCCGTTTTGTAGATCTTTCACTTTCAAGAAAGTTTTGTCAAGTCACGGGCTTTCTCCCTCGATCTTCTTGCGTTGTGGTTGGGGAAGCGAGGGGGTGAGGACTGCTGACAAGTTGCTTCCCAAAACGGTAACCCGAGGTTGGATTGCAGTGGCAACCCGAACTCTCGGGCTCTGGGCCCCATTTCCCCCGGTTTGCTTTTTAAAAAAGATGGTCGAGACCGCGAGCAAGATCCAGTTATTTCTCCACTTGTTCTTTGTGTGACCGTTCTCGACCGCCTGCTGTTTTGTTAACCCCGCGAATTGGGGTTCGTTGTGGAATTTGTGGAAAAGAATTTGGGGGTGAGTGGGTCTGTGGGTCGAGGAGAAACAGGGGTCTCAGGGACAGCAAACCTGGAACGTGCGCCAAAGTGATACGGCCACACCTTTAGGGTTGCACTTGCACGTCACGAACAACGTCAGTCCCGGCCATTCATTTATGAAATGCACCTTCATACTTGTAAAATTCCATGTCTGTCAGATCACCACACCACGCACTAGAGGCATAACCTCATGACCCCGTGACAACATACCCTAACCCTCTTTCCCCGGATTTCACCAACTGCCTGACAGAAACTCAAACAAAACAACAACACCCTATCCGGCTTATTCCAACCCCAAACCACAAATCCAACAACAAAACCCCCAACAACCATGGCGGCAGCCAACACCCCAACCCCAACCCGGCCCCTATCCGGCCACCGCCCCCTCCTCGGCGTCTCCACCAAGATGTACTTCACCCACGCACGCACCACCGCCTTCACCCGCACCCTCCTCACCCACCTGATCTCCACACCCCGAGCCGCGGAAGTGCTCTCCTCCATCGACGCCTTCCTCATCCCCGACTTCATCTCCCTCCCCGCCGTCCTCGCCGCCATCACCACCACCACCACACCCTCCGGTCTACCCATCACGATCGGCGCGCAGGACTGCGCGGCGGCCGATTTCGGCCCCTTCACCGGGGAGGTGTCGCCCGCGGTGCTGCACGAGGTCGGGTGTGGGATGGTGGAGCTGGGCCACGCGGAGCGGCGGGCGCTGTTTGGGGAGACGGATGGCGACGTCGCGGCCAAGGCGGGGGCGGTGGTGCGCAATGGGATGGTGCCGCTTGTTTGTGTGGGGGAGAAGCGGGGTGGGGGTGGTGAAGGGGATGGAGATGGGGATGGGGATGGGGATGGGGTGCGTGCGGCCGCGGAGGAGGTTGGCAGGCAGGTGGCGGCGGTGTTGGGGGAGTTGGATCCCGAGGCGGAGGTTGTGTTGGCGTATGAGCCCGTTTGGGCGATTGGGGCGCCTGAGCCGGCTTCGGCGGCGCATGTGAAGGGGGTAGTGAGACGGCTTAGAGAGAGTGAGGTTGTTAAGGCGAGAAAAGGGTTGACGAGGATTGTGTATGGCGGTGCGGCAGGGCCGGGGTTGTGGGCCCAGCTGGGAGGTGAGGTAGATGGTTTATTTTTGGGGCGGTTCGCGCATCAGCCGGAGCAGTTCGTGAAGATGCTTTACGAGGTTGTGGGTGTGCCTTATGAGGGTTCATCATGATATAAAGCACGCCGTGTCGGGCTAGATCTCACCGCGGGGTTACGGACATAGATCCTCGGATGGTAAGATGATGGCCCGACATTGGTCGGAGCTAAAAGCTCGTTACCCTGTCACGAAATACTGGGCTGAAAAATGGCCGTCGCCTTGTCTCAGCCGCCTTGCGCGCACTGCCTTTTATTGTAGGCAGCGCTCAGCCGCTCCCTTCTTCATCGGACATATCCGAAAGCTCACCGCCACATGCATATTTATTTAGGGCGGTCGAAGCATCATGGGCTCTTCCAATGACAACCGAACCATTGCACTGGATATCTCATCAACCAAACGATCAAACGATCAACCGTCACCGAAACCAACCTTCCTCCCCATTGCTGAATTTCGGCAACCCATCTCCCGCACAAGCATGGAGAACACCCCTGTGCGAATGCCGGAGGCAATACGGGTTGCCAAGTTACAGATGGCGGAGGACGGTGGCCTCCCATCTTCGGTAAATACCGGAAAGTCGCGCTTTTTTCAACCCGTTGGCGGGTTTGAGTCAACACGTCGGACCGGGACCTGGGGGGGTTTTGTCTCGTCAGCTTCAACATATCTGAATGAACTCCGTAATCTGCTTTTCATCCAGGCGCTCGGTATATACTCTTTTCTTCGGGTTCAGTTGAAGAAGCTGGCGGGCGCCGTTACCAAGCTTGCCGGCCTCGCTGGCTTTGCCATCGCTTGTGTTGCCTTGTGGTCGGCACTCTCTTCCATGCACGATACCCGGCAAGCTTTGGTGCTGGCCCAGTGGACCGCTAGAAAAGACTTCCTGCAGTACTGCCACTCGGTGCGAGAAACCACCTGATTCCGATCAACCGTACACATCACCTAACCGGTTCTTACTAGATCAACTACACCACGACAGAGTGTGAAAAAAAAAAGAAGACATCCCTCGACCCGCCTCCGATACCATCCAACAGTGGCATACCAGTAATGACAATCCTAGGCTGCACTGGTATCTCCTTCGGCCTTCCTGGACCGAAGCCCTCTCAAATGCCTACCGCCGGAATGTACGGGATCATTGAATTTGTCGATCACTTGCCTCAACCGTTTCAAGTCGCCTAGCCGCTTTCTTTCTCAGTATTTTGCATGTTTGAGCGACGGATGGTTTTGGGTACATTGGGATAGTGGCACAGGCGTTAATTGGTATACGGGCTGTAATCCTGTCCGGAGGACAATATTGCGGCCAAACTCCAAAAGAATTATTATGGTAAAGTCACGTGATTTAAATAGAAGAAAACTCTCGAAAAATCATACGATCTGCCAATTGGTCGACAGGGCTGCGGTCTCCACTATTTCTGCTATCGTGTTTTGGACGCGTAAATTGGCGGGATAAGATCAGCCCATGTCTGTTTTGGGACACTCGCGCGACAGTTGTTATTTACCTCCCAATCCAATGTTCCCATCCAGCATGGAGATCAACGGAGAAATGAGGGTTTGTTCCCACTGCAGAGAGAAGCAGCCTGCCATGCAGTTTGTTCACCTGCGTGATTCCTCGAAGACAGTACAAAGATGTCTTGCTTGCCGGAAGAAGGCGGCCGACAGAGTAACCATAGCTTCCCACCATACTTGATTTGTTGCTAATACAGATCGCACAGGTGAAACAATCGACCACTTCCGTTGCCATAATGCGTGAGATTGTAGGCAACAAAAGGCTTTCTGACGTGTCGGACGAGGTGGCGGCCCCGCCCAAGCGCAAGAACCTCACCCATGCTGTGATGAGTGAGCGGTATCACGCCGGCGGTGTGGTAGAGGGCGACTCTGTCACCGTCGCTGCTGCTCGTCAAGAGCTTGCCCGCATCCAGAGAGATCACCGGTCATTGCGGCGTAATGATGAGGAGCCGAGTCAGACACCCCGACTGAGCGAGTTGCTTCGTCGGCAATCTAAGGGCCGAGAGGATGTCGAAGGAGACGACCAAAGTAGCGATGATGACCGGAGCAATTCCCGCTCCGAGCCAGGCATCGCAGTAGCAGAAGGGCCTGTACCGGAAGAGCCTATCGAACAGCGAGGGAAGCGAGGCCGGCCTCGAAAACAGCCCCCTTCCGATCCGACTCTTCGCCGTCCGCCTGGCCGACCACGGATACATCCCCTTCACAATCCAGCTGCTCCTCGCCGCCCACGTGGCCGTCCTCGCCGTGTCACTCGTCCAGAACCTTCTCCAGCGCCCCTACGCAGCCAAATTCGCCATGGTCGCCCACCAAAGCCGAGACAACCAGTAGGCCGTCCTCGCAAAATTCCGGTCAATGACCCGCCGCCGGTCCCGCCCCGCGATTTCAACGAACCGCCTCCTAAATACACGGGCGATCTGCAGGGATCTCCGCTTTGCAAAAACGATGTTACTATCAAGCATGAGTTTAACGAGCGCCTTGCGCAGGAAAACATGCGCCTTTGTTTCAGATGTAAGGAACGCTGGTTTGATGTTGAGCTAAAGGCGGATGGAGTTTGTAAACGCTGTCACCAAAAGGATGACAAGAAGCGGGCTGACGAACCTTTCCTTTACTCCGCCGAGAACCACCTGGACTTTGGAGAGATGCCAGACTCTCTACCCATCCTCCATCCCGCCGAAGAGATGGTTATCTCGCGGGTCCACGTTGCAGTCAACGTGTTTACGGTGTGTTCCTTTCTATCTTTGTTGGCATTGCTTCTTACTTTTGGCTTTCAGGTCCGGGGCCAGCAGTACAAATATCGCGGCCATGTTGTTCATTTCCTTCGCGACGTAGGCAAGGTCTATGACGAACTTCCATTGCTGCCCAAGGATTTGGATATCGTGATTCTGCGTCCGAGCGGTTCTGAAGCCGATCCCGCGATGGACCGACAGTTTCGCAAGCGATTTCGCATTCGCCGCCGAGTGGTGGCTACCTGGCTCCGTTTCCTGTCACGCAACCATCCTGGCTACAAAGGCTTTCTCCTTAGCGAATCAAATCTAAGCCAGCTACCCGAAGACGAGTCCATCTTCGATCAACTTACCATCCACGAAGTGAGCAGCTGGGAAGACCTAGAGCCCGACCAGGGCCCAGTCGACGGTGACAGGCCGGAGAACGAGGATGGGCTGGGGTTCGATGAAGCAGCTGTACCCAACGTGCTGGTCAAGGATTCGGAATTCGCCCTGCTGCAGGGCGGACTCGAAAACAACGGCCCGGAGAACCAAGAACGTCCTCCAATGCAGCAGCAGCAACCGCGCGACGCTCACCACCTTCCAATGCCTCCCATCAGATTCACGCCGATCAGCGAGTTCAACCGGTCGCAGGCTCTGCTGTCGCTAGCATGTCCCAGCCTCTACCCACGCGGTCTTGCTGATTTCAACCAGCCGAGGCAACGCGCCATCAGCTACTCGGATTACTTGGCGCATGCGATGAAGTGGCATGACGGGCGTTTTGCCCGCCATCATACCTTCCGTTACATCGCATTGAACACCCTCATGCGGCAGCAGGCCTATGGGCACAGCCGGTTCTACGTCAACAAGCAGCGGTCTACCGTCCTAACCAAGGCGGAGTTACAACAGGCACTGGAGAATCCCGACCGTCCTGAAGCTCAGGCAATCCTCAACCAGATCTCCCGCTTTGCTGGGGCGATTCAGGGTACGAGACCCTATTGGTACCGCCGGCGCAGGGAGTGCGAATCTTTCGCGCACTGTCTGGGCGTCCCCGGCGTATTCATCACGTTGAGCCCAGCCGATCTGCACTGGCACGACCTCTACCGGCACATGCCGGAATTCGAGCGGTGGCAGGTGTTGGACGAGCCGGCCCGGATCTCGTTGTCCGGTCGCCTGCTTCGCGAGAACCCCCATATCGCGGCGTGGTACTTCACCACGCGGTTCAAGGCATTCCGAGACGTGGTGTTAACCAAAAAATTTAACCTTTCAGACTTTTAGTGTCGGTACGAATGGCAAGGACGAGGCAGCAGTCATAACCACGGGCTGTACTGGTTTGAAGAGGGCCCGCAGCAGGCTACCAGCACAGATGAGGAGAGGGCGAGGTTCGCGCGTTTGTGGGGTTACCACATCTCGGCGGAAAACCCCCAGCCCCATCGGATTGGACAAGGAGGTGATGGCGGCAACCCACTGAACGTCGACGCACTGCAGACGGAAGTAACATGGGACTGGCTGGATCGCGTCCTCAACCGGTGCCAACGGCATCATTGCTCGTCCACCTACTGTTTGCGCATCAACAAACGCGCGGCGGAACTGGCAGAGAAGAACGGCGAGCCGGGCCCCGAACCGGAATGCCGGTTTCTGTTTCCCCGCCCGCATCGAGAGGAAGCCGGCTTGGTTAGAAGGCCGGGCAAGACGTGGTGGTCGTTTGAGGCGGTACGGAACGACTCCCACATGAACCAGTATAACCGGCTCATCACGCTCTGCTGGCTGGCCAACACCGACATCTCGCCGTGCACCGGGATCGAGGCGGTGATCAACTACGCCGCCAAATACTGCAGCAAGACCGAGACCAAGACCAGCACGTACGCCGAGATCGCCGGGGCCATATTGCCACACGTCTCGGACAGGAACCCCATGCTGTCGTTTGTTTCGAGGATGATGAACAAGTTAATCGGCGAGAGGGATTACTCCGCACAGGAGACGTGCCACATCCTCCTCAAGCTACCCCTCTACCAGGACAGCCGCGTTGTGATTAGCGTCGACTGCCGACCGGCTGACAGGCATAACCGGTTGGCAGAATTCTCCGAAGCGGATGAGGCTGTCCAGACGAAGAAGACGTCGTACGAGAAATACCTGGAACGGCCTAGTGACATGGAGGCGGTGTCGTATTTCAGGTTCCTGGAGACGTGGAACTTCCAATCGCCAAACCCGGGCAACTGGAGGGAATGGCGCCCACCCGCTCGGCCCAGGGTGTTGTATTACTTCCCGCGGTACACGCCGGTCCATGGGCACGTACAGTTCGAGGACTTCTGCCGGGTCAAGCTTATGCTGGCACATCCTCATCGGGAATGCGGCGGCTTTCTAACCCTCGACGGTACCCGTTTCTCAGGCTACGTGGCGGCATACGAGCACTGCTTGGAGCACCATGAACATGAGGATGACCACTACGGAGAGGCGGAAGCGCCGGAACCCGCGGCTGACGAGGACGAGTTCCGGGCTGTACCCTTCCAGGAAGATATCAGTCTCGAAGACTGGCAGGAGCTCGCACGCATGGTGCCTGAGCTCCAACCAGAACACGAGGAGATCGACCTACTGACTAGGCGAGATATCGACATCAGGTACGACTGGCATCCCCACGTCGGCCGGTATATCGATGAACGGTTCGACAGCGGCAAATACTGGGATCTTCTCAAAGTCGAGCACCCCAGTATGGCGGGAGATGTTGAACACATTCCTCTGAAGGCCCGGGATACCCTCAACCGGGAACAGAGGATCGTGTACGACACTATTATGGGCCACCTAGAACGGGATAACGTACCGCCCATCCTGTTGCATGTTGACGGCGGCGGAGGCACTGGGAAGTCGTACATGGTCAACATGCTGTCGTCTCACCTCCAGCAAACTCTCCCCGGCCGAAAATCGCCCATTCTCCGTGCCGCACCCACCGGGGTCGCGAGCAACCAGATCAATGGCCAGACGCTGCACTCCCTCCTCCGCTTGCCTATCGATGGCAACTACCGCCCGTTGACCGAAACACCCACTGTTTTGGGGAACCTACAGCGTGTTTTTGCGGGTGTACGTTACCTCGTCATCGACGAAAAGAGCATGCTGGGGCTCAAGACTCTGGGTTGGATCGATCGGCGGCTCCGCGAGATCTTTCCGGAGAAGAATGACTTCTTTTTCGGCGGATTGAGCGTCATTCTGATCGGAGACTTCTTCCAGCTGCCGCCGGTGCTGAACAAGCCGATCTATGCCGAGTACGACAGGTTGATGAAGGAGATGGAGGTTGCTGGTCTCAATGCCTACCGCGCCTTCGAGCACTCGGTTTTCTTGGAGACAATCCAGCGGCAACATGGGGCGGACCAGGCCGGGTTTCGCGACGCCTTGGTCGAGCTCAGACAGGCTCGGGTGTCGGTCACGGGGTGGGAGCTGTTAGTCTCCCGGTGCGCGTCCAATCTCTCACCCAGAGTACAAGCCGGTTTCGCGAACGCCGTACGCATTTATCCGACGAGAGAAAAGGTGCGGTCTTATAATCATGACCACATGGTCGACCTGAACTCTCCGGCCCTCTACGTAGAGGCTACCCACCAAGGCGACGGGGCAAGTAAGGCCGAGTCGAAAGACGCCGGCAACCTGTCGAGCCGCTTCCCGGTATGCATCGGCGCCAGAGTGATGTTGACCAGGAATATCTGGAACCCGGTGGGCCTGGTGAACGGCGCCCAAGGCACGGTACACGATATCGGCTGGGCGGAAGGGGCGGACCCCCTGCGGGATCCGCCGTTGGTCATCATGGTGGCCCTCGACAAGTATACGGGGCCGCCGTACTACACAAGAGACGTAGAGCTTCAGGACGGGCAGGGCAGGTTGGTGGTCCCGATCCTGCAGGTGAGGCAAGACTTCACCCTGAAGAACAAGACGTGCAGCCGCACACAGTTCCCCCTAGTGGTCGCGTACGCTATCACGGTGCACAAGTCCCAGGGGATCACGCTGCCCAAGGTGGTGTGCGACATCTCGGAGCGCGAGTTCGCTTCCGGGTTGTCATACGTGGCCGTCTCCCGGGCGTCGAGGCTGGACGGGGTGATGTTCGACGTACCATTCGACCGAAGCCGAGTGAACCGGGACCCGCCGACTGCTGCCATGCAGAGGAAGCTGGCGGATTACGAGAGGCGTTGGAAGGCTAGGTTGCTAGAGCCGCTATACCGACCAAGCAACGTGGAAGCGAGCGATACGGAGAGTTATGTGTGACTACGAATTAAGCATGTAGAAAATAGCAAGCAGTTTGGCCGAACAATATTAGACTCCGGACAGATATTGGCGCTTCGTCTCTCCCGTACTTAATAACAATAAATTAGCTCGATTGTCCTCCGGAGAGGGACAGGAAAATTGCCAGGAGCGGGAGAGAGGAAGGAAGCGCCCCGTAGCGTAGCGAAGGGCCGCGCGACTGACGAACGAAGCGACGCCAGCAATTTTATTGACTTGATGCTGAGTATATCGCTACCTTCCTTCGGTTTCGCTTTTCTCGTCCAACCAACTTTTCCCATGGATTAAGTCCAGGGGCCGCGTCACACAAACACCTCCCCTTACCCGTCATCTTACATCCCCGCATGAGACATACCTCCAACCCCCACAAAAAATAAAGAAGGATCACAGCTTCGAAGTACCTGGAATCATCAAGAATCATCAAGAATCATCGAGATGCTCGTTGAATGCTGACGGTTGACAGACACGCCCGTACATTGTGGAATGTTCCATTTCGGTCGATTAATGCGCTGGTGGTTGAAGGGGGGATTTGACGGACGGTCTTTGTAACTTTCAATATGCCTTTATTTGCCTCCCATCAAGTTCTCGGCCAGACGCTTTGCATTGGCCCCGGTTCTCACATGCTCTAGAGCTTTCTTCTCCAGTCTGAGAACTTGATTGTCTATCTAACCACCGACTCCCGCCACCATGACCTCCGAGTTCGACTTCGTCATTGTAGGCGGCGGTACTGCCGGCCTGGTTCTGGCCACTCGCCTGTCGGAAGACGCCAACGTGCAGGTTCTCGTCATTGAGGCAGGCGAGGATCTTTCCGCGGACCCCCGGGTCAAGATCCCTGCCATGTGGCCGCAGCTCCAAGGTACAGACTCCGACTGGCAGCTCAAGAGTGTCCCACAGGATGCATTGGCCGGCAGAGAGATGGCCATTGCCCAAGGCCGCCTCCTTGGGGGGTCCAGTGCCCTCAACGCCATGAACTTTGTTGTCGGCGCCAAGGAGGATCTCGAGGCTTGGGCTCAGCTCGGCAACCCAGGCTGGGACTGGGAGAGCTTCTCGAAGCATCTCAAGAAGACGTACACCGTGACGGACGGGCTCAAGACCGAGAATGACGGTGCCATTCAGACCAACATTCCCGAGGAGGAGACCAAATGGCCCCGGATCTGGCGTGACACCTTGGCTGGGCTCGGATATCCCGCCTACAATGACCCCGTCTCAGGCGACATTCACGGCGTAGTCCTGTACCCCGACGCCGTCCATCCCAAGACCAAGACCAGAAGCTACGCCAGCAATGCGTACCTCGCTCCGGCCCAGGACCGTCCCAACCTAACCGTCTGGACCGGCGTCACGGTCGACAAAATCCTGTTCGACAAGGCCGCCGACGACGCTGTGGCAACCGGCGTGCTGTACACCAAGAACGGCCAGACATTGACCGTCGCCGCCCGCAAGGAAGTCATCCTCTCGGCCGGCGTGTTCCACTCGCCTAAGATCCTGGAGCTGTCAGGCATCGGCGACGCCAAGCTGCTCCAATCCCTCGGCATCGACGTGGTCGTCGACAACCCCTACGTCGGCGAGAACCTGCAGCACCACCCGCTCAGCGTGCTGTCCTTCGAGACCGTCGACGACGGCGAGCCGGGCTTCGACACCATCGACGCGCTCGCGCGACAGGACCCCGACGCCATCGCCGCCGCCACAGCCGCCTATTCCACCGGGCGCGGCCCCCTCTCCCGCACCAACTGCAACACCATGGCCCACCTCCCCTTCCCAGGCCTGACCACCGACGCCGGCAAACGCGACGCCGAAGCCCTCCTCGCCACCCTCACCACCCCGCAGCAGCACACCAAAACCACACCCGCCTACACCGCCGCCGCGACCGCCCTCACCGCCGCCACGCTCACCACCCCGACCTCCGCATCAGGCTACTACGTCTTCGTGCCGTGCCGCGCCCCGGAACCCTCCAACTCCCCCTCCCCCCCATCCACATCCACATCCACACTCCCCTCCCCCTCCCAGCACATCACCATCGCCGCCCTGCTCACCCGCCCCCTCTCCCGCGGCTCCACCCACATCACCAGCGCCAACCCGGCCGCCAAACCCGCCATCGACCCGCGCTACCTCACCCACCCGGCCGACCGCGCCACGCTCGCCCGCCACGCCCGCTTCATCGAGCAGACGCTGAGCGCGGCGGAGCCGTTGGCGGGGCGGTTGCGGTTGCGGCGCGATGACGGGGCGGCGGGGCTCGCTTCTGAGGATATGGGGGATGTGGAGGGGAGGTTTCTGAGCGAGAGGGCCGGGGCCTCGACGCTGTATACGAGTACGTGCAGCATGATGCCGCGGGAGGTCGGGGGGGTGGTGGATGCGGAGTTGAGGGTGTACGGGACGAGGAATGTGCGGGTGGTGGATGCGAGCGTGATGCCGTTTATTACGCGGGGGGATACCATGGCGACGGTGTATGGGATTGCGGAGAAGGCGGCGGTGGAGATTAGGGGGGGGTTGTGAGGGGGTGAGTGGATGGGAGGCTGTAAAGGGTCGGGATGGGGAAGTAAGGGGGATGGATGGAGGTTGGATTGTGGGAGATGGGAAATTGGGTAGATTGTCTATTGTTTGTTGTTACGTACCGGGTCTAACTTCACCATGTCGATGCCTCTCTGTTGTCTTGCCGGGGACAGCCATACCATGGTGAACACCTAGCCCTCCATCCTTCAACTTACCCAGAAAACATCCCCTTCCCCGCAACGCACCACCGCCATCAACCCATCACAACCCCAATCCCATTCAGTTCTCCTTCCCCTCCTCCCCAACAGCCACCAGCTTCCCCACCACCAAGTACTTCTCCTCAAACCGCTCCTCCCACCCCTGCAGCGCCTCCATCTCGGACGGGCCAAGCCCCTCCAGCTTATCCAGCGGACCCTCCAAATCCTTGGTCAACATATCCTCATCAAAGCTACCACAGGCCAATCCGCGCGAGGCGTCGCGGCCGGCAAAGTTCTCGTAGGGGCCGCCGGGGCCGTAGAAGTTGCGGCCGCGCGAGACGTCGAACACGCGGCCCCGGACGGCCAGATACACGGGCATGCCGTTCTCGCCGTTGTAGGGCCGCAGCGTGGGCGGTGTGAAGGTGCGGAACACGACGGCGGGCTCCTCCTTGGGTAGCTGCGGTGGCGGGGTGGGCCGCAGAAGGAAGGTGTAGGCCGTGTAGAGGAGTATGGAGAGTAGTAGGCCGTTGAGGGGGGTGAGGAGCGTGCTGGAGGGTGGGGGGCGGTTGTCAGTTCGGTTTCTTGTTTGTTTAGGGGGGAATGGAGGGGGGGCCGTCTCAAAGAGGTCCGTACCTGGAAGATGCGTCGGTGCTGGCGGCGGCTTGCGCCATGCGCTGTTGAACATAATCCATCTTTTTTTTTTTTTCCTTCTTCCGCTGGAAGCCTGATAACACGGTAGTCCAGGTAGCGAAGTTGAAATTGGGTTCGGGTTGCAACAGTGCCTTGCGGAATGGCCAACCCAACCTGGCCAGTATCGAGACGGAGAAGGCTGAGATGGAGAAGGCTGCGATGGCGGCTCCGGCTTCGTCGGTGAATTCCAAAATCCACTCCCACAGCTTCCAGAGCGGAGTGGGGACAGCAAAGAACTCGCCAGCAAGACCCCTACCAAGCAGATTGGAGAAGCACGGGCCACACAAAAGCTACCCCACTGACTCCACTTATGCAGGGTCTTGGTCCCGATGGTATCTTCTGGGCAGGCACCGCAGGCAAGAGCAACATTGGGCGGCCTCGATCTCATCACAAAAAGTCCCTTTGCGACCTTGAAATGTGTACCGTTTTGGTTGTACAAGGTGCAAATTGTTGGGCTTGAAAAGGCCGGTATTTCTCGATCATGAGGCAGCCAAAACTTGTACATAGGTATACTGTGATGGTCCTTCAAACGGTCCCGCCGAGCTGAAATGCTGAACGGGGAGGTTCCCTGACGAGCTGAGGTCATTGACGCTGCCCCGCACATTGCATCTCTGTTTACCGCACGGAGCAGGAAGTCCAAGAAGGAACAAGCACTGCCCCGGTGACCAAGGTAATTGCATCGCGCGTTACTGCCAAGGACGCCATCTCCTAGCCATTGGCCCGCGTCATGGTCCCGCGAGGGTGGTTTCACTCGTCTTTGTCCAACCCAGCTGAACTCCCCCCACCTTCCTGTTTACCCCTCAACTATATATCTCCGGGGGTCTTGAGCTACTTTCAGAGCGTGAACCCCTTGTTCTTACACAGTACTTCCATACCGTCCCTGTCCAAACGAACCCTCAATTCGTAAAAGTCGCCTTTTCCACCCAACCAACACCAACACCAACGCCAACACCAACACCCACCTCACATCATGGATTTCGTCAACAAGATCGCCAACCAGGTCCAGGGTGACAAGCCCCAAGGCCAGCAGTCCCAGCAACAGCCCCAGCAGTCCAGCTCCGGTGGTGGCTTCATGGACAAGCTCCACGGCCTGGCCGGCGGCGGCCCTGAGAGTGAGAAGAAGGAAGACGCTCTTGACAAGGGTGAGTTTTTTCTTTTGCCCGTGTGACGTCATCGGTCTAGAACATGGATTATCAAGCTAACCACGAGCGTGTTGCGAAAAGGCATCGATTGGCTCCAGGAGAAGGTCTTCAAGCAGGGCCCTCAGACCAACGAGAGCGCGGCCGAGCAGGCCAAGGACCGCCTGATTGCTCAGCAGATCCGTGAGCAATACAAGAATGCTACGGGCAAGGACTTCCCCATCAAGGAGGAGGAGAGGAAAGCTGCTGAGAAGAATGGCTTTGGCGGTCTGTTTTAAGTAGCTGTGCTCTCGAGATAAGTTATGACTTTACGATGCTGTTTCAGGACTCTGACTGCCCATCCACCTTGATTTGATCCCGTTTGAAGTGGCTGCCTCTAGCTTATATACACCGGCAGCCGTGTGTCCATAAGATCAACCTTAGGGAGCTGCACGTCCGCCGCGTGGAAGGTGTGTAAATTCAGCCAACACACCATCCGTAGCATTAGCAACGGCCATATTGCTGCCGTTTGTGGCTTCTCGTTAAAAAGTATATCCCAAGGCTGTTGGGATGGTTTGTCGAGCGGGCCCATAGCCTGCCGGTATCTTGGATAAATAGTGTCAAAATATATCTCGACGAGCGCTCTTTCTCGGTCCTCCAGATCAAGCTTGTCGAAGTGACGGAAAGCAGATTGCAGGTTGCTAGATGAATCATGTAGCTTTGGCTCCTGGCTCTTCATCAGCGATCCCCAAAACGTCTGAATGTGTGTGCTTATGACCAGGCGGATCTCTCGCCGAGACTCGTTATCCCATTGCAAGAGTTCATCGTCGCACCAATCCACCATGTCGTGCAATTTGTGTAAGAACTGAGGGTCTGATTCTGGCAAAAGGTGAAATTGCGGGTCGGATGTGAAGGTTTTCATTGAAGAAATCGTCCTCGCCACCTCACCATACCCTATGGAGTAGGGCACGCCGTCGAGGACTCTGTTGACGTAGGCGGTAAGTAGTCTTTTCGGGGAGAAGCTTTTGTCGTCCCACCGGTACGGCAATGGATTCGGCAGTGTGCGGCCGGCGATGCCTCGAATATGCATGGGCCGTCCGAGCATCCCCACAAGCTCGAACAGCACTATGAACGCAGAGGTTAGACGAGGCCGTCTGCTGCAATAGTGGATGGTTGGAGCAGGTGTACCTACCTGGGAATATGTGTTCAGACGAAGCGATAGATTCGATAATATGTTTGTCGCATTGGAGCAACGCCAACGTGCTCGCAATTCCTGACGGGCTACCGAGTCGCAGTGTCCCGAGCTCTCGAGGGACATCCGTAAGGTATATGGGACGTGGGGCATCTACCGGCCGCAAAATTGTAGAAATAAAACCAAAACAATATTCGAAAAGCCCGATCGTGGGGACAACACGAGTAGCCGGCGGGAACCTCGGGGTGCCGTGGCAGGTAAAGGAGAACATGATTCCAAGATGTGGGACCGCAAACCCGGTGAACATCAGGCCGTTACCATCGGCTATGTATCGATCGTTTGTACGGTCAAACTGCTTCCAGTGCAGGCCCAGCATTCCGGCAAGAACCACGATGCTGCTCAACGTGGTCGTTGCGTATGGCTTCTTCACGCCTTCCGGCATAAGATCCAACGTTTGAAGCCTGGCCTGCACCTCTACTGATACCATCTCGCCCTGGAATCCGGGAGAAGGCACGCTGTAACGTAGCATGTCGCGTACGGTGGATAGTAAGTCCAGCCAGGTTGCCGAGTAGTCGGCGATCCCGTTCCTGTTGTTCTCCCTGGCTAATCCCGGCTGCCGGACGAGTGCTGGCTCTTCCACATCCCAACTTTGCATGCTATTGACGCTTCCAGCTTGATCTGGGCGGATAGTCACAACCGTTATATCAGGACTTCCTAAAGACCACTTCGAAGCGCAGCTCCCACGGATGGAAAACCAATCTCGTGTGGCGGGCCCAAGGACCCATGACTCTTGCCGCAATTCGAATAGCCCACGGCAGTGGCTAGGTACTGCTGAAAATCTTGGGCTGTTGTGCCAGCTAGAGCCACGAGAGCAACCACCAACGCCACGATGGCGACTGCCAGACTGGCAACCTCATTTCCGCCTGCTCCGCCGTCGTTCTCGCTCATGGTGGTCCAAGGGGGCTCCGCACTCGTTGGATATGTGGCGTCCAAAAATGGGTGGGCGAACGATAAAAAAAGAGTTAAAGCAACGGCTCAAACTAGGCTCGTCGGGCTGGAACCGATGTTAAGAAGAGCCGGAAAGCGCAAAACTGCAGAACTGGAGGCACCCAATCAAACATATCTGCACGACACCAGCCTCTCAGGCGGTCCAAGGGCGGTCATATCTCCGAAAGGCTGGGTGATAGACCTACCGACTTTTCGTTTCAAGCTGAGGACATGATGGAAAACACCAGCACCAAGGAAAAAAGCCTTGCATGCGGGCCTTGGTGGATGCCAACTGGGCCTCCCGCCTTTCCGCTATCCCGTGGCAGCATTATACTGTGCTGGGCTCATAGTCTTCTGAAGTTTCCGAGCATAACTGCTGTTATTCGCGTCTCCGAGATAACCCCAACGCCGCTCCGGCTTCTACCGGAGCCGGACCCGAAGCGCCCGCCGGCCCAGGACCCACTCAGCCGGCGACCAAGCCCCGGGTCGCCGATGTTGGCGTGCCAAGCGTCCGAGGCTGATATGATTGTTAGCGAGAGATCGGGGACCCAGGTAATAAGTGACTTCATACAACCCGATGGATATTTCCCCCACGGATGGTCACGAAGAAGGCCTGCGTTCACTTCTTGAGGTTGTCCATCCAAGATTAGTTAGGGGCGCTGCCTGGCGCGCTGGGTGCTTGGTAGTCAGTGGCCGATCCGACCAGCTCATCGCTTGGAACTAGGGTAGTCCTTTTAGTAAACCGCCCAAGTGCATTCAGAGCCTTCGACAGCTCTCAAATTGTCCATTGTTGACCTAGGTAAATAGTAGATACACACACACACACACACAATTTATTCCGCCCGGCGGGCCTAACCGGAAAGGGCAACTATCATGCAATCTACTAATACATATCCTAAAATGGATCCTGGTCTTATGAAGCCCGTACATCCTCCTTTTCTGGTTTAACTCCTTACAATCTTGCCCTCTCTGCTGCGGGTGCTCTTGGGTTAGTAGTACGAAAAGTAAGCTGGCTTGAAGACTAGTCTCCAAGTGTCCAACGTCCTATCTTCGGCGGCTGAAGCGCGCTTACTCGGTGTGGCACGAGATGAAGGAGGGGTGTTAGTCGGGGTTTAGGATGGTGAGGTTAGTTTGCTTTCATTCTGTTGTTGTTCTGTCCTCAGACGACCTGTGGCAATGGCAAAACGTATCGTCGCCCGACACCGCCCGCATGTTGGGGGACCAGTCCTTGTCATCCGAGGGCGACTTTCCTCCCAGGTAGAAGGAGAGGTTCCCCCTGTGGACATCCGTACATTGCAGCATCTCCCTACGGTGTTGATCCCATTGCTTGCATCGGAAGAGGAAGTGGTCCACTGTCTCTCTGGCTTGTCCACACGTACACTGATCTGACGGTGCTGCTTTGATGCGATGCAGGTATGTGTTGAGCTTGGCCATGCCTGTTCTAAGCTGAGCAAGCACGCCGGCCTCGCTTCGGGACAGGTGGTCGTATAATAGTTGGGTGTGCTTCCCTGGTAACGCTATATCGACTCTCTTGGAATGTCTGCCCACTTTGTCAGGTAAGGACGTGGGCGGTGCCCGCTTTGCCCATGCGATACGGAGGGCTGTTGACCGCATGGCAGGATCCTGCGTTTGTGGCGTAGCGTCCTGCCGCGTTGCTTCCCTTGATTTCGCTTTGGCTGTGTTCAGGAGCTCGTTTTTGGTACCCGCTTGGATCCAGACGACCGAGATCGTGTTTCCCGCCTTGCGTAAGGCACTTATCGCATCGTACGCCTGACAGAGATATTGTTGTCCTGATTGCTGGTGTGGTCGCTCCAAGGCCATCACGGCTGCCTTGTTGCTGGTGGCAAGGATGATCTTTCGGTACCTGATATTTCGAATCAACCTCAACGCGTACCCAATAGCCGCAAGCTCGCCTGAGAACGGGTTTTGCTCCGACCTGGAGCCCAGCGTCACACTAAAGGCTTCGTTCCTTGAGCCATCTCGCATCGGCAGCGGGAGACGGACGACTCCTCCGATCCCTACCATGTTGTTTCGTGCGGAGCTGCTTACGGCGATCCGGACCGCCCACTCTGTCTCTTTTTGCTGGATGCCCGTTCTGTCAACCGTAGTGCGGACTCGCCTCTCCCAAGGCGCTAATACGACGGGAGCGATGGTTTCGAGGCTGTCCAATGGGACGTCCTTGAGGAGATCTGCTACCTGAAAGAAAGGCGAGCGGTAGGATCTCCGGAACTTGCGCATCCGGGAAGTGGTGTTGCGGAGTGGATTCGTCTCTGGTAGGGTGTGGATGTCCGTCCACATCTTGATCGCCCTCTTCCAGAATCGATCTTGAGCCGTGGGGATGTGAGCTTCTGCTTCTGCTACGCGTGTTGCTACCGTGCTGAACGTTCCTATGATCCCTTGCGCCGCGACCCTCTGCACCCTGTGTATGGCCGGCGCGGTCTTCCAATTGCATTGGTGCATCCAGACGCTGGAGGCGTAGTCCACCACTAGTTTTTGAGGGAAAAAAAACGGTTACTACGTAATCGACTTCTTGCATCGTGGCCGCAACACAAGGTTACCACTTGACCTCGTTCGATGAAGATACTCATCGTCCGTAATGTGAAGACAGAGTGTGGGTGTCCGTGTCTTGGTTCCTCGGGCTTTCCGGGTTGGGGTTGAGGTCCTGTGCGGATGTTCGAAGCACCGTGACCCCACCATCGCCAACCCTGAGTGGGCTGTGTTAACATTGCGGGGTGGCATGGGACATGTCAACGGCCCAAAGCTAATGCAGCTTGGCAGTTTCGCAGCTCAACATAACAACAGCCTTGCCCACCAACACAACGAAAACAACACGCCATCGTTTTACCTCTTGGGCGTGCTTGCGGAGACCTAATACCATACAGCACCCCCGTACAAACCTCCCATCAACCTTACCCCACTCCAGTCTGCACTAACCCCTCGTCCAAAGGCGATCAGCCCAAACAGAGCCCGGCTCTCCCAGACCGACTCACGCCAACCAACTCCAGCGCTTCGCGGTTTCCTTGCATGTCTCCCCACAATCAAGAGGCCATTTTGTCGAGCCCGTCCGATATCCACAAAGATGTGACAATCCAAGGGAATGGGGACACATCCCCTTTTTCAGAACAGGCGCCCCGAGACGCCTCTCCGGATGCGATTACTACTAGTGCGGTCCAGGGGGGGGCTGCTGGCGAGGAGGATTTGCTAAACCTTAGCAATGGGAAGAGAAATCAGGCAGATGAGAACTCCGAAGCCGCATCGCAGAGTCTTGGTGGACCTACGCGACAAGACAAACTACCCGAAGATAACGACTTGATGTCTTCTTCGATCGCGACCTTGAAGCCTACCACGTCCCCTACGACCACGACATCCACGCAATACCTCACCGCCGAATCAAAAACTTACGTTGATCCCACCCCACCTACGCCGACGTGTTCTCGACCCCCCTCCCGAGCGCCCTCATCTGCCCCCCGGTCGAGATCGGACGATCCATCCCCCACGCGGTCCGATGCCGCGTACGACGACAAGAGATACACTAGCGAGGACGAGCAGGAGCATGGGTCTAGATCTGAGATTCAGAGCATTATGGAGCAGTTCAGTGAGCTTGGCGGCGGTCCCGGTGCCGAGGAGGTCATGAGTCCCAGACTAGAGATAGCCTCACCACTATTGGGCGGGCGGATCCAACACCCTCCTCGAAAGTCAAGTTTGGAGCCCCTGGCTCCTACCGCCGCACATCAGTTCCAAGATGCTCCTGGTCTTCATGTATCGACCTCATCGCTGGGGAGTACGAGATCAAAACAAGAGGGTGACGACTTTGGGCCCCCAGTCCCGCCTAAGGACGAGTCTGGTTATTCGGGAAGGTTACGTGATGACAGCGTTGATTCCCCCATGTCACCCATCGCCTCGCTGCACCGCCCACCACCGCCCGAACCCGAACCTCGAGCCGGCACTACCGTTCGACTTCCACCGATTCTTGGAGCAGCTGCGCAATAAGAAGGCCGACCCAGTGGCACGATATCTCAAATCGTTTCTTTCCGAGTTTGGAAAGCGCCAGTGGATGGTGCATGAGCAGGTCAAGATCATCAGCGACTTTCTCGCCTTCATCGGGAACAAGATGGCTCAGTGCGAGGTGTGGAGGGATGTGCCGGACACCGAGTTTGACAACGCACGTGAGGGGCATGGAGAAGCTCGTCATGAATCGTCTATATTCCCAGACATTTCTCCCCCGCGATTCCAGCGCCCCAGCCGGTGCCCGGGGTAAAAAAGAAGCGGGGGGCAGACCGGGTGATGGGCCCTGGGCGGCGGGGCCAGCATCAGGAGGATGTGGAACGGGATGAGATCCTGGCCCAGAAGATCAACATCTACAGTTGGGTGAGGGAGGAACATCTGGATATCCCCCCAGTGAGTGATAGCGGAAAGCGGTTCCTGAAGCTCGCGCAGCAGGGTAAGTAGCACGACTCTCTCACCCAGAGCCACGCTCACATTATCCAGAACTGCTCAAGATCAAGTCTTACCGTGCTCCTCGGGACAAGATCATATGCGTCCTAAATTGCTGCAAAGTCATCTTCGGTAAGTGGTCAAGAATTCCGAGTGATTAGGTGTTTGGGAAGCACCGACGTTGACGTTCCTAGGCCTACTCAAACATACCAAGTCGGACTCCTCTGCGGACTCGTTCATGCCGATGTTGATCTACGTCGTGCTGCAAGCGAATCCAGAACATCTCGTCTCGAACGTCCAGTATATCCTGAGGTTCCGTAACCAGGAGAAGCTGGGTGGGGAGGCTGGCTATTACCTTTCGTCACTGGTGCGTCGGACGTTCCCCGCTCCCGAGCCGTACTAACCGTCTCAGATGGGCGCCATCCAGTTCATCGAGAACATGGACCGCACGACATTAACAATCACAGACGAAGAGTTTGAGAACAATGTCGAGGCCGCCGTCTCGGCCATTGCAGAGAAACACCGCGCCGAATCCCCCCCCGCGCCCCCATCCCATTCCGAGAAGCCAACCTCCCTAAGGCCGCCACACCTCGGGGAGTCAGGGCCCTCCTCAACCCGCCCCTCCCTCGACGTCGATCGCCCAGCCAGCCCCCGCCGCTCCACCTCGTCCAACGAGCCTCGCGACAGCGGCGAGTACAGCGGCAGCGACGAAAAAGCCGCCATCACCGGGCTGCTACGGTCCATCCAGAAGCCGCTCAGCACCATAGGCCGCATCTTCTCGGACGAGCCCTCATCGTCGTCCGCCGCCGCTGCTGGAACCAACGCGAGCATCGCCAGCCCGGCCCGCACGCCGCAGCCGGAGCGCGGCGACGGCGACCTGCGCGCCCGCCAGCGCCTGTCCGCCGAGGAAGCGGCCGCGCGCCAGGCTAGTGCCGAGACGGCCGAGGCACAGCGCCTGCATCGTGCCGAGCATGCGAACGTTGTTGAGACGTTAGCGGGCATGTTTCCGGATTTGGACCGGGATATTATCAGCGATGTGGTGTATCAGAAGGAGGGGAGGTATGTACTGGATCCGTTCTGAGATTGGAGAATGTTTACTGACTGACAATGGCAGGGTTGGATTGGCGGTTGATGCTTGTCTCGCGCTGTCGACGTGAGTTGGCGCTGGTCCTGGTGTAATGGAGGAGGGGGGTTGGAAGGGTTCGTTCAGCGCCGCAGAGAATTGGAAGACTGGGTTGGCCGTGGGTTCGGTTTTGACTATAATTACCCTAATTCTTCTCTTCCTCGTCTCCTCTGCCCCCTCTTTTTTTGTAAGCGGCATCGAGCGGAATGGGTGGGTTGTCTGGCTGCATGTTTTGGTGTATCTGCATTGCCCGGGTAGTGTCCGTAATTTGCAATGCTCGTCCCGGAAAGGGGGTCAAGAATGCCCCAGCCTCTTTGTATAGATTCGGTGTTGCTGTCGTATCTTTGTGCTGTTGACCAGAATGTGAAGACAATGATGGTCGCCCAGTTGTTGATGAAGCAGACACTTCGGCAGACACTCATTCACTCACTTGAACGGCAAACTCAGAGTGATACCACAGCAGTGGCTGTATTTTTTAACTATGGTGATATTCCAATCACATCATGGGCAATAAAAGCTGAACCCTAGGTGTAGATGTTGACCAAGCCTCTGACTAAAGGAAGAAAATAAAGGACATTCACACTCGGCGGCCCAAAGTCTAATCTTTATTTTGTTCGATTTCTTTTTCTGACTTATTTCCTTCTTTCTCATTTCCTGGTTTATTTTACTTTTCACTTTTTTTTTTGTTTCTTAATTCTTGCTCTGCTTCCGAGTTCGGTTTGTCTTTTGGCTTATCTTCTGGCTTGTCCTCTGGCTTGTCTTTTAGTTTTTCTTTTGGCTTGGCTCATCTTATGTCCTCCTTTTACCTTTCCTTTTGGCTCGAAGGTGCTAGTGTTGAATGTGTGGTGTGGCACACGTGTCGTATTCGTTCTCTGAACGAGTTCCCCCTATTAAGGTCAGTCTCTCACCCCGGTTTCCAACAATTCACAACAATTCACAAAAAAAAGCTTCTTGGCGCAGCGGAAGCGCGCCGGGCTCATAACCCGGAGGTCGCTCGATCGAAACGAGCAGAAGCTAAATGTGAAACGTAATCTTTTGATTCTGTGGTGTTGACACATCTTCTTTTTGATTCAGGGGCAATATTGACATACCCCTGATAATTTTACCTGTTGAGCTGCCGTTTAGGAGGAGCGACTTCCCATTCTTCATGCTCTTCTGGTGACATGCTGAGTCAGCACCTGCACCTGCCGCTTGAAACAAATCGCCAAGCATTTTGAGATCTGCAGGTCCCGTCGCGGCTTTTGGCCGTCATTTTTCAAATCCTCCATTTTCCAGTCTTCCCTTTTTAGTTAGCTATTTCATCGTTTATTTCATTTCCATTCCATTATTTTCTCACCCTGCCCAACCCCAACTCAACAAAGCCTTCATTCCCGACACTCACCACCAAACACACCCAAACAAGCACCACGACCCAACCCCAAAATGTGCGGCATCCACTTCACCCTCTCGCGCACCCCTCCGCCCGTCGACCTCCCACCCGACCTACGCCGCTACCTCCACGCGCGAGGACCGGACCATTTTGGCCAGGTCGACCGCCTTGTGCGACGTGTCGGCCACGGCGGCGGCGACAGTGTCGGCGATGGCGCGGTTGATTGGTTGCTGCGCTTTACCTCTACAGTCCTGGCCCTGCGCGGCGATCATGTCGCGCAGCAGCCGCTGGCTGGTGGTGACGGCTCCGGTGGAGGGTCGGTGCTGTGCTGGAATGGCGAGGCGTGGAGGGTTGGTGGTGGTAATGGTGGTGAGCGGGTGGTGGGGAATGATGGGGAGGTGGTTTTTGCGAGGCTCGCTGCTACTGATGCTGGGCGGGTGGATGCTGTGCTGGATGTTCTCCGCGGCGTTGAGGGGCCGTTTGCGTTTGTTTATTACGATGCTGCGGCCGGCAGGGTGTTCTTTGGCCGGGACCGGCTGGGGAGGCGGTCGCTTTTGATGGCCACGGCGGGTCAGGGCGGGCTAGCGCTGTGCAGTGTTGCTGGCGAGGCTGGGGAGGGGTGGAGAGAGGTTGAGGCTGATGGGATATATGTGGTGGATGTGGGCGAAGATGCGAGCCCGGAACGATACGATTGGGTTGTTGGCGAAGATGCCGCTGATTTCGTGAGTACGCTTGCTTGGTCGGCTGCGAGTTATGCGCTTGATCGTGGTCGGCCGTCCTGTCAGACTTACTTTACTTTCTCCAGGTCTCCGGCATTGGCAGGTTCAACCAAGCGCTACCCACTGGCTGCTGTCAGTTGACGCCCAGTTCACCTTCGGTGGTGGCCCTCAAGGAGCAACTACTTGAGTCGTTGAGGCTGAGAGTCCTCAACATCCCGCTCCCACCGACACCGAGTACCAACGGCAGGACTCGAGTCGCCGTTTTGTTCTCCGGTGGTCTTGATTGCACTGTGTTGGCCAGGTTGTGTCACGATATACTCGATGTGGATCAAGCCATTGATCTGCTCAATGTCGCCTTCGAGAACCCTCGGGTGGTTGCTCAACTTCGAAAGGAGAATAACGATCTACCCGACTTTTACGAGGCTTGCCCGGACAGGATCACTGGAAGGCGGTCGTTTGCAGAGTTGCAAAAAGTCTGTCCTGGGCGAGCCTTCCACTTTGTGGCTGTAAGTTTTGCTGTTCCACTTCCTTTGAACCACGTTTCTGAAACCATCTAGGTAAACGTTCCCTACACCGAAACACAGGCACACCGCCAGCAAGTCATTTCCTTGATCCATCCTCACAATACTGAGATGGATCTTTCCATTGCATACGCACTCTATTTTGCTTCTCGTGGCCAAGGTTTCTCCACCGAAATCCCTGGGTCCTCTCCGATTCCATATCGGTCCCCCGCCCGAGTCCTTTTGTCCGGCCTAGGCGCCGACGAGCTCTTTGGCGGATACTCTCGCCACCCCTCCGCGTTCCAACAGCGGGGCTACCCCGGGTTGATTGATGAATTATTGCTTGACGTCGGGCGGCTGGGCAAGCGCAACTTGGGCCGGGATGATCGAGTTTTGGCCCACTGGGGTAAGGAGGTGAGATTTCCGTTTCTAGACGAGCGCTTGGTCAGGTGGGCCGTCGAGACCCCGGCCTGGGAGAAGTGCGATTTTGAGAATGGTGAGGATGCCAGCGGTGTTGAAGCCGGGAAGAGAGTACTCCGCCTGTTGGCGCTAGAGCTGGGCATGGTAAATACGGCAAAGGAGAAGAAGCGCGCCGTGAGTTATCCATCTCTGTCTCCCCCAGCGTCACACGCACGTTAACATCACCGCAGATCCAGTTCGGTGCCAGGACAGCCAAGATGGAAAATGGCAAGGTTAAAGGCACCACGCTGATATCATGAGGATACCGAAAATCCCAGCTTGACACTGGCGGTGATGATACATTACAGATACTTCTGAGTCACGGTCTCGATGGCAAACCAAGCGGCTAGCTCGCATTGTGGTTTCCTCGGAAGCCCTTGCGCGCGAGCTGCCAGTCTGCGTCGTTCTTTTTGACCATGAAGTTAAAAGGCAAATCTGAGCTAGTGTCGGGATCTGGCGATGGCGGCTGTTTAGCTGAATTTGGGAGCGGCGCATCGCGCTTAAACATCTTTTTTTGGTGCCACTAGCCCCCCACCAGTGAGCCTTTCGATCCTTTCTCTGACCGCGCCGCAAGTTCCATCCGTGCCGTTGCCCACGTCTCAGATCCACTGGGGGCCGGTAGTTGGAGTGTTGCATCCCAGCCCACCTCTCGCAATATGTACGTACTTGAAAGCTCCTCGTCGCCCAACTGCTCTTTTATCGCGATTCCGTCTTCCGACAAGTGTCGGTTCGAAGGTCACAAGACCCAAGATCGAAATGATGGTACGAAGTGAGTGATGGGCAAATGTGGGTTTCGTCATGGGTCAGCCCTGTTTCCCCAGATTGCTTCCCCTGGCCGTTCCTTCAGCGGTCCGGCAGAGCCACCTGGGACCCCTGAAAACCCTGGATGGACTGGCTTTCCCTACAGCCGTTAGATGGCCGTTGCTCGGCTCGCCCCGGTTTCTCTTTACCCAGGCGAGCTAGGACGCCTCGGTTCCTGGCCAAGTCCGCTTTGCCAGCCAGCGAATATAACAATGGGGTTCTTATCGAGCCGTTTAATTATTCCTCTGCCTCGTGGTGCTCGATTTTTTCTGCAAAGCTTCGTTGTCTTCCGATTGGTCCCCGTTTGAGGCCCAAAGTTGGGCCTTCTGCCCCTCGTTTTCGCCCTTCCACCAGATCGGGACGATGGCAGGCTGTTTGATCCCGAATTGAGCTCGTGGGGCTGCCTATTCGGCCAAGCGTTGTGTGTTGGCTCCCCTTTGCAGCGCCGCCGTTGGATGATATCGGGTGCGGCCTGTGCCCCTGTTTGTGCCGCACATAGCCTTCCAACACCACGCTGGCGTCTGATGCCCCCTTGAGAATCGAAAAAAACGGGAACGCATCCCAGCTTGTTCTGTTGCGCAGGGAATCTTTAAACCTACATTCGGCTTGGACTTGCTGAGTCCTAGCAGGGCGGAGCGTCCCATGTTTTGAGGGACTCCATCCCGCTCTCCTCCGCCCGACTTTCGGCCTCGAAACCTTCAACTCCAGGCTCGTTCACGCTTGCCAGCGGTATGAAATGCGTTGTGCATCCATATACCTCATCGGCTGTCGAATATACATTCGTTATTAGGTAACCCCGGTAACGACATCGCAACCGCTTTCATCCGTTCACGGCTTCAACACCAGAGCGCCCACCATGGCTCAAACGCCGAATAGAGCCATGACGCCGCGTCCAACCTCGTTACCGACCCCTTCCACTCCCTTCACCTCGTCGCCGCTCACTCCCACCGGGATATCACGACTTGGCCCACGGCGACAGTCCCGTTTCACTGAGGATATGTCGGAACGAACACCGGCGGCGTCCATCTCTGAGCGTTCTATGGACTATTACTGGTATGGGCGCTCGGCAGAGGACGTCAACAGTAATGCTATGACCAACAACACCAACCCCTTCCCAGCTCCAGAAGTGGAAAATCCTCCGACGGAAACCGAGGGCCGGGATTGGAGCATGTGGTTGCGGTTGGTGAACGGGGTTCTACACGCCATCCCATGTCTAGTGTTATTGGGGATATTTGCGTATGCTATGCGTGTGTTGCGGGAGGATATGGGGAGTTACAGGAGGTGAGTGGTGCCCAGATCATGGATGGGGGCTCACCCATCACATAACTGTGCTAACTAAGTTTTGCGCTACTCAGCATCGAAGCGATATTCTCATCTGCTTTCTCTTTACGGACGTTGTCCTTGACGTCGTTACAATCTTCCGGGCGAAGAAACCGTGGCCAGCTTGGGGACTGGGGCTACGGTTCACCTGCGGCATTGCCTACATCGCCCATTTCCTGGTCTACATGGGGTTGGGAGACCCATTCCCTCAAGACTACACGTACTGGGGTCTACCCACCCGCTTCGCCGCTCTGGTGGTGTATATCCTTCTCTGCGTCGAAGGGTGAGTCCAAGCAACCCCAATCCCTCCAACTCCCTCCCACGCTCAAAACTAACCTCACCCACCCACAACACAGACTCTGGAATATCCTCCACATCCCCATCACCCGCTACCAGCTCGGCAACACCCTCCTCCTCCTCCTCGGACGACGACGCACCACCGCCCCCAAAACAGCAGCAGCATCGCCCCAACCACGCCTCTCCAGCCCCTCGACCCTCACCAACAGCAACCACCCCCGCACGAGCTTCAACCCGCGCTTCTCGGCCGCCGACACGGAGCACTCCTCCATCAGCCTGACCTGGCGGCGATGGGTGCGCACGCGCACCAGCAGCAGCACCCAGTGCAGCAGCAGCAGCCACCGCGGCGGCGGCGGCGGCGGCGGCGATGATCTTCTCGAGCCCGCCCTTTTTGCTATGCACGGTGCAGGAGGCGTGGGGTTGGCCGGGGCGGCCGGGATGGCGGCGGCGCGCGAGCGGCCGTCGGTCGATGACACGCTGCGCGAACGGCCGGGTGAGGAAGGGGCGGCTGAGATGGATGACTGGCGGGGGCCGGGCGAGGCGGCCAGTTCGCGCGTGTCGAGCAGTTTGGGGGGGAAGCTGGATGAGGTCGGGAGGTGGGGGGATGAGAAGTCGGAGGGTGTGGTGGGGCGTTCTCTGAGGTGAGCTGTGTGTGTGTGTGTTTGTGTGTGGATGGTCTTGGTATTAGGCGGTGAATGTGATGTGGTGGTGATGGGTGGCTTTTGGGGCATGGCGTTGCATGGCATCGGCGTTATTCGGGGTGGCGCTTGTGGTTGTGGTTTGTGGTGGTTGCGTTTGGATACCCTTGACGGTTTTATTCGTAGTAGTAATTTACTCACTAGATAGATACAGATACCTTGATGGTAATGATATTTCCAGTATGTACAATAATACTACATACAATGCATGCCAGCCGCGCTGCAACGCTTCAGCTCACCGAGCTATCCATCGCTGGTGGGAAATGCTCGTTGCGGATGGGTCCAGCTACACCAACTTGGACCCGTCTTACTTTGCTGCTGTCACCCTTCCCTGCATTCCGATGCCACATGGCTCTCGGCTGCAAGTTATCGGGATCAACAACTCGTAATCATCGAGCTGCGTCTTGGCGGGCTGGTCAGGGTTGATGCAAACCGAGGGAGTTGGGCAATCATGACATAAATAGTCAGATGGCGGTTTGCGCTCGACATCTACATTCCTATTCGGGGCAAACAGATTGGTGGCACTAGCAGATGATGACGGTATTTGTCTCGCCTATTCTTGACTGGCAACCAGTGTCCGGTAACACGAGCATGCGGAAACTCCTGATCCGATAACTATGTATGACTTACACAAGCTCTGGATCAACCGGAAAAGAGAAAGGTTGTGCAGATACGTATACAGCACAGTAAGCGGGCATAGGCCGGTCGGTTCCCAATCCGCCTTAACTCAATCACGAGCTAGATAACGCCATATTTTTGAGACAGTGGATAAAACGGGTCGAGTAGTCTGATGGCCAGCTGCGTAGCGGTGGTATTTGCCGATGTTGCAGCCCCGCGCTGCGCCTCACCCGCGCCTGAAAGGTCCTCTTGAGGTAGGACGAGACAGCCAAACGCAAAGCGCGCAAGGGACACGAACGGGATGGCCTGCTCACCCGCCTCCCCCACTCCGGCGCTCCGTGTAGTGGTGTGGTGAAGTCGGCGCGCAGATCTTCCGGCAGAAGCGCGCCAGCCCTCCAATTATAGAACCTTCTCTGCGCCGCACCCTTACCGTTGTTTTATAGTGATTTCTCGGCGGTGCTCCTGCCCTGCGTGGCTTTTGGTTTCCGAGCGAGAGAGGGTGTGGACGCGGTATAAGGCTAGCGGTTCCCCGGACGCCTCAAACCAGAGCCTCCCACCCCTGAAAGAAATGCCTCCCATTTGCTCCTAGCGTTTCCCTCACAGCGTGCGAATAACGCCCCTTTTTGCTGAGTTGCCATCTGCGCTCGCTACAATGCCTGCTATCGCCTCCAGCCTCGGTATCCGGGGCCCCGACCCACAGCACGATGCCAGTAAGGATAATGTGGCCCCCAGCACAACCAACACGGTGGTCTGGATCGTGGCGGCCGCCGTGGGCGGGCTCATCGTTGTCGGGGGCATAGTCGCCCTCATCCTCATTCGGTACACCAAACGACGTCAGATCAGGAGAGATCAGGAACTTCACCCATACTTGACACGAGAAGAGATCATCAAGAGGCAAAAGATGGAGGACAGCGACCCGTTCCTAGAACTGGAGTCGCACAGGAAGCACATGATCAACAAGTCACTTGCGACGCGGTCCTCGTACTCTGCGGGGAGCGGGTTCTCCGCGATGGCGAACCAGATCGACCGGGAACTGGCCGAGATGGAACGGCAAGAGACGACGAAGCTAAAGGATGACTGGAAGAAGTGGGAAGCCAAAGTGCGAAAGGAACGGTCCGAGTCAGGCGGCGGACACCCTGCAACCAGCGTAGCCAGCGAACCGCCCGTTCTCACCATCCCCATGCTAACGAAGCACCGATCGCCTAGCCGGACTCCATCCGTGAGCCCCCCGCCACCACCCGGTCGTCTTGACCGACGTCCTCCAACTTGAACAAGCCCGCCGAAGAAGGATGTTCAAAAAAAAAAGGGGGCGGTTCAGAAACCACAACTCAGACCCTCCGACGCACCAAGTCGAGAAAGAATGACTTAGCCAGGCCGAGGGCCAGACGATAAGCCTTTCGGCCGGACCGCGACCGGCAGGTGTTGAAGGCACCATGCGGAGGACGACAACGATAGAATGCAGTTCGGACTCCGAGAGGTCACGAGGCGTGCTCGGTCAGCGGGCATTGAACGTCTACGGTGTTTCGGCCATGGTGGGCCGTGAATCGGAAGTCTTCGGCAACAGAAGGTGAATGGGATTCGTCTGTCTTGACGCCACGCGGAAGCAGCGCAGGAAACACCCAAAAAGCCATGTTCGGGTGGTTTGGAGACTCATGGCTGGCCAGATGAAGAGTTGAAGCCCAAATAACTACCTTACCTAACGAGTGAGGTGTGGAATGGGTGTTGTTGTTGTTGATGATGTATGTACGACTTAGTACTGTGCGATGTGCGAGAGGCAGTCGAGTGAAGTACGCTGTATTATACCATCAAAGGTTAAATTGTTCGTCATATCGGATGATCGCTGCAGATCACAAACAACATCTCCTAACTACCGGGCTAAGGCTGAGCCCGCCCAGGCCTCCTCGGCTGAGTCATCCGTTCCAGCCAGCACGAAACAGTCCCACACACCTGGGCAGCCCGCTTCTGGAAAAGGCAACAGTGTGGCTGACATAACGGGAACGCCTCTTTCCCTTCTGTTTCGCTTTCCTTTGACCTCATCTCCTCTCTCCTCCTCCCCTCCTGGCTGATTTCGCCCTTCGTTACAGCCGCCGCTCGCTACATTCCCTCGGAACCGCCGACAACTCCAAGAAATCCATTTTTGAGTGCCGTGCGACCGATCTGGCAATTCGCCGTCATCGAAGCCTACCCTCTCAAGGCTACCTGCGACGACTATTCTTCCCCGACCCGACGGTGCTGTTCTTTGTTCTGGGAGAACCCCTCTCGGACGCCTTCGCTGGTCTTCAGAACAGTCGCTCGAGGCGCCCACTACGGGCACACACCCACAATCGCCCGCTTGCACAGCTTGATTTCATACCTAACAAAAACGTTCATCGTCAAGCGCGTGACTACGCCTTTTGGCTTGTCCGGCCCATTTTCCTCGAGCCCCAGCGTTTAACAGCAGTTGCCTGTTTATCGCTGGACAAGAAACACGCAATCCAACCACCACAAACCCCACCGAAAGCCAACCGACTTTTGCCACGTTTTCATCACCAGCGTCCCTTTCGCGCTCCGCAGTACTAGCCAAGATGGCGAGCGCTTTCTCTCCGTTTGAAGAGGTTGGCAAGCAAGCCGAGTTTCGGGAAGATCTCAACCGCATCTTGATCTGCCCCGAATGTAAGGAGGATCCACCCCGGCTTGTCGAGGAGTACTCCTCCGGCGACATGGTTTGCGAGACGTGCGGTCTCGTTCTGGATCGTATCATTGATACACGGTCCGAATGGCGCACTTTCTCCGGTGACGATAATGGGAATGACGACCCCTCTCGTGTCGGTGACGCGCCCAACCTCATGATCGACGGTGACCAGCTGCAAACGGCCATCGCGTTCGACGGAAAGGGCGCCAAGAACCTGGCACACCTACAAAACAAGATCAACCAGGACAAGGGCACCAAGGTTCTCCTTCAGGCATACCGAGACATCCAGGCGCTGACCGACAGCATCAACGCGGGCACTCAGGTCGCCAACACAGCGAAACACATCTTCAAAATGGTCGACGACAACAAGGCCCTAAAAGGCAAATCACAAGAGGCCATCGTTGCTGGCTGCATCTTCATCGCTTGCCGGCAGACCAACGTGCCCCGGACGTTTCGTGAGGTCTATGGCCTGACAAAGGTGTCCAAGAAGGAGATCGGGCGCGTCTTCAAACAGCTCGAGTCCTTCCTGCAGAAGATGGGCGGCGAGGACAAAGTTGCCAAGGCCACGGGCTACAGCCAGCAGTACACCGCTAAGGGTTCCACGACGGCCGACGAACTGTGCATCCGTTACTGTAGCAACCTCGGATTCCGCAACGCCGTCCGTGTCGAAAGCGTCGCTCGCCGGCTGGCCGAGAAATCCTCCGAGGTTTCTGACCTCGCTGGCCGTTCCCCCCTCTCGGTCGCCGCCGCCTGCATCTACATGGCATCTCACCTGGTTGGGGAGCCACGGAGCACCAAGCAGATCTCGGTCGTTTCCAGCGTCAGCGATGGGACTGTCAAGACGGCATACCGATACCTGTATGCCGCAAAGGACACCATCTTGACCAAGGAGGTTTTCTCCGAGGAGATGTTCGGCGACGTTTTGGCCAACATCGACAAGGTGCCGGTCAATTAACCACCGAACCAACCCTCGCGTATTACACCGAAAATACGCCATTCAACCACCAAAACTTACTGGGCACCGATGAACGCACCGCGCCTCACTAGCGGACTGGCGGACAGGTCTCGACTGGCAGAGCATGGGTGTGGACGAGACAGCCTCACACGACGAGGTTTCATGTAACCATTTGGTATCCCATAGCATACATAGATGATGCAGCGTGACAGCTGATGGACATCTATGGTGCGACGGGCAGCGCGTCCTTACTGGAAAACGTAACGACGCCAACAGGGCTCGACAGATTGGCAACGGCCCTGTTTCTTGCTCATTTTGGTCAAGCTGATTCCATTTGGGTCGGTTTCGGAGGCTGAATATCTGGAAAGTCCGGTCGGGTGCGGCCTCACACCTATTGGGGGAGGGGGCCGTCCAAGGACAATGGATACTAGCGGGTTGCCTGCACCACTTCCCGTCAGCATAGAAGCGTTACCATTTGTGTAACTAGGGAAGACATGTAGCGCAATAAATGAATATGATGAAATTCATTTTTTTTTTGGATGTCATTCATTAAACAAGCCCCATTGACACCACAGCATGGCCAAGAATACAGTGCGAAGCGCAAACTCCCTCTCGCCTCGCACTGCCGCGATGCCGTGCCATTGGTCCGAGCGTCTCCTGCCAAACCGCCAAAATCCACGTCCTCCCTCTGGCAATCGCGTCTCCCGACACCGAGCCTACCCACTTGCCGTGGCAACACTGATCATCGATCTTGCACTAATTCACACACCGCCTTGACCGGTCGAGGAGAGAGCCGTCGTACCATTTCAAGCAACTGACTACGATGCCCGCTCGACGAACCAGTCGTGCAGCTGCAAAGCGCGCGCAACAAGCGCTCGGTAAGTCCTTCTTCAGGTTCTGTTGATCTGCCCCTCAATCCATCACATCATCATCCATTGTCGGCCGGCCACACCCTGCAAACAAAAATAATCCTACATTTTGCAACCAACTCTCCCCATTCGGGTTGTTGCAACCAGGTGGTAGCAGTAGAACGTCGCTTGGACATCGCCAGTTCCACAAGCATCAACGCAGCTGCTGCAGACCCAAGAGCAGGAGCAGTCGGCGGACCGGGTACTTGCAACAAGCAGGCTGCGCACAGCCGGTTGTGCATCTCCCACCTTGCGATTGCACTTGACCACCTTGATCTCTCCACTATAGTTCAAACACTACTTCGAGTGGGGTCAACCCCTCTCCCTGTGAACGGACTTCATCACTCTCCCAAAAAGCGGCATGATTCCACACCATGGCACCCCGCTCTTCACACCGTCTTCCCAGGATCAAATTGATTAACCGCGCGCTTCCATCTGCAGAGAGCACGCCCAAGACTTTCGACGGTCTCGACGATGAAGATGAGCGCATGCCCGATGCGGCCGACGCCGAGGACGCCGAGCCCGAACAAGAAGTAGACGAGGAGGCCGACAAGGACGACGGCTCTGCTGCCGAGGAAGAAGCCCCAGAGGAAGAAGAGGAGGAGGAGGAGGCCAAGTCTCCAACGCCGCCACCCGAGCCTGTCATCCGCCGTCGACGATTGGGAAGGCCGCCAAAGAATAGGCCCCCGGATTGGGACACCTTGCCGATCGAGCCTCCCAACCCCGATGCCACGCCACGCCGCCGCGGCCGTGGAGGCTGGCGTGGACGCGGTGGACGTAAGGGGCAGCATTACCAGCCCACACAGCAATCGATCGACAAGGATGGCACGGTATTAGACATTGTCAACGACGAGGTCGACCTTCCCCAGGATCCCGAGGGCGAGAAAAAAGTGGACAAGCTAGGGAATCTCGAGGATGGGCGCGAGTATCGATGCCGAACCTTCACGCTTGCGAACCGTGGTGACCGCCTTTACATGCTTTCCACCGAGCCCGCCCGCTGCGTCGGCTTCCGCGACTCGTACCTCTTCTTCACTAAGCACAAAAAGCTCTACAAGATCATCGTCAATGACGAAGAGAAACGCGACATGATTGAGAGGGATATCATCCCTCACAGCTACAAAGGTCGCTCAATAGGCATTGTCACGGCCCGCTCAGTCTTCCGCGAATTCGGTGCCCTCATCATTGTGGGCGGGCGCCGCATCATCGATGACTACGAGGTCGCCAAGGCACGCGAGGAGGGTGCAGTCGAAGGCGAGCTGGCCGACCCGACGGATGTCTACGACGCCGACAAACCGTACAACAAAAACCAGTACGTTGCTTGGCATGGCGCCAGCGCTGTGTACCATTCAGGGGGTCCCTCGGTGCCCCAGCAGAATGTCAAGGTCGACACCAAAAAGCGGCGTGTCGCCGTCAACGATGTCAACTGGCAGCTGGAACACGCCAGGGAAGCCAGGTGAGTCTGTGTCTCGTTCTCTTCAATGGAGTCATTACTGACTCCATCATAGCCAATTCAACAGCATGCTCTCCGCCGTACGCCGCGCCAATCGCAACGGCGTTTACGACATCCAGACCAACCAGATGCACTACCCAGCTATCATGCAACCGACGCACGCGCGGATCGAGCAGGTCGTGGATGGTGACGAGCCCGAGCAGCCATCTGCCGGTTCCTCTACCATGTTCCCTGCCATTAAACCATCCATCTCGCGCAACTTCCTCGTCATGGACATGCATCTCGAGACACCGCCCGCGGGCGTCTCGGTGGCGGCCTACGACGTCCCCTTCCGCACCTCGCAGGCCGACTACGAATCTTCGGCCTCCGCCGACTTTCTGGCGCCCTTCAAGGACCTGCGGTCCGTGCCAGACGACATCCGCGACCTACTCCCCGAGGAGTGCCGACAGGCTTTCGACAGCGCCAGGGAAAAGGAGAACAACTGGTTCGACAAATGGGGCAACGAGGCCGAGATGACTTCGAGACGTGAGCCAGTCGTGGATAAGGCCATTGTGCCTTATTCGATGATGATTGCCTGAAACATATTATTACTAGGAGGGTAATGGTCTTTTTGTGCTGACTCGTGTTTCCCTATTTTCTTTGGGTTCCATAGGTTCTGTTTTTGAGTTTCACACTTATACTGGCGTTGGGCCGGAATATCCAACTCCCCCGGAAGAGCATAAGGAAGATACAAGCGTGGTTTACACCCAAGACAAGGTCCGTAGCGCCAAGGGAAAGAAAGCTACCCCTGTCTCTGTTCGAAGAAGATCCGGAAGAGCCGGGAGAACTGGCTTGCCGTCTTCGCCTACGCTTTCCGTCGCGTCTGTCCGGTACAAGAGGATCAAGAGCGACTTGGTATGATACCAGGACAAGAAGGCGATCCTCCAAGGCATCGGCCGTGACAGAGTTGTCAGGCTCGAGTGAGCAGAGAGCGCGGCACGTCGTATCATGAGTACGACTGACAAGTGACTTGGAGGAGGGAGAAGGTTGGGGGGGGTTTCGTTCAGGGGGTGAAGCGGGATTGCTGTATGTCTTTTGTATGTATCATAATATCCACCGGCGATGGATGGCAGAGCAAAGACGGGCGTGTTTTGCTAGCCATGGCGTTTCCTGGCTGAGGTGGAGGGGGGGCAGGGGCCCTTGGTTTTGGGAGTCTGCTGGCGTTTATGGGAGGAGACAGGGTGGTGGGTGTGTTAGTTAATGTCATAACGATCTACCCCGGGCTTTTGCAACGATGAGTTGGTCCCAGTGTGTGATTTGCGTATGTGGGATGTGATGGCGTTTAAGTTTAAGGGGAGTGGCATCTGGACATGGAGCAGAATGATCCCAACGACGGGCTGGTTGGGACGACCGTGATGGTTTTGGGGATGTGGTCTCTGACGCGGTGGATGCTGGGGCGGGTCAAGAAACCCCGAATGGTGTCCGTCGTTGGCTCGCTCGGTTCCTTGATCATCGGGAAAGGAGTAAGACATGTTACCTGGGAGGCAGAAAGTCCAATTTGCTTCTCGGCTGAGAAGGTACACAGATCGTCACGGTATACTTGTCATGGTGGCATGTCCATCTAGATCCATCCAAGACTATCAGACACCTGGCTAATAATTCGGCTCTTGAGTATGAGTAGTCTGGCACTCTTGTCGATCGTTCAAGCTTTATGAGCGAAGCAGAGCGACTTGACAGCACCAGAGTCCTTTTGAACCACGCAACAAATAAGGATTCGACTTTAGAAGTTGTATCCGCTTGGCTATAACCCTTTTCAAAAGCTACTCTGAGCATGATCCAACACTTGGTGTTTATTCTGTGTTTGTGACCAAAACGAATAAGTGAAACTAGGATGAGTTTTGTCAAGACGGGATTGTGTCTGGTGTATTTTAGTATTAGCGTCATTAGACAGAGTTTGTAAAACTGTCACTAGGTTGCTAGTTCTTTACTTTGCCCACCACAACTTCGAATAGGGTAAACAGAGCCGTGGAACGAGATGTGTTCCGGCAAGACCGTTTCAAGACACAAACAACACACCTCGGTAACCATGGACTAACCACAGACTCTACTTAGAAACACTGAGGTGTGTATGTATAATGACCTGTTGATGTGTAGACACATTGTCAGGAGGTTTAGAATCCTCCATTGTTGAAAGGGGGTCCTCTTCAAGATGGGAGTGTTCCATAAGAGCAGCATACCAGGAGGTACACACGTGTGATACTGTTAGTATCACTCCCATCTCAAACAAGCCGTCTTGCGTTGCCCGTTGTTATCCGTCCCCGTATGGCGTTGCATCTCCCCTCTCCAGCCGAGGATGAAACAACAGAACGACGTACCTCAAGCAACCAAGCGGAGCATCAGATAACAGCCGTCGACTCAACAAAACAAGCCGTTCTACCCCGCCAAAACAGACCCGTACATCATGCACTCGTTCGTCAAAAAACAAAGCCCACCAGTCAACCAAACCAAGCTCAAGTCAAGTCACCCAACCCTTCATCCACACACACACTCTCACACACTGCGACCCGACGAACCCCCTCCCCACCGCCGCCGCCGCCGCCGCCAACGGCGGGACGCAAGCATATCTCTCACCCCTCCATATTGCCTGCCTGCCTGCCAGCCTGTGCCATAGCGGCAGCGTTCATTTAGTGATCCCGCCTCTCGCTTGGCAGAAAAGAAAGCCCAAGGAGAGCCATGATACGGCTGGGTATCATGTCCACCACAGGGGAGGGAGGTTATTGCCTTGCGGCTGGTGTGGGTGCCATTGGTCACCAGCTCCCAGATCTCAGATGCGTCCGTACCCAAAGCAGCCCCCCCCCCCTCCCTTTCCTTCTATCTGTTCTCTGGGAAAGGGTCGTAACGCTCGCAAGCGGGCTGTGGGTTGTGGGCTGCGAGCTGCGAGCTGCGAGATGCAAGCTGTAGAAAAGGGGTACGGGATACGCGCGCAGGTGGCACCCTCCCCGTTTTTTTTTTCTTTTATTTTTATTTTTATTTTCATGTACGACATTGATATCTCGTTGGGGTTGGGTTGTTCTACATGTAAAAGGGGATGGAGGTTGGGTCGGTGGGGGTTCGGTGTTCCCGTCTGCCGCCCTCCCCAGATCGTGTTCTTGCAGATGCAACTCCCCTTCTGGGCATCCCATACGGTTTGCCGTTCTCATATGAGGAGTTCGGGGGTTGCGAGCCGAGAGTTTGAGCATATTTCTCATCGGCCGTTGTCTTGGGTTTGACGTGCCTGTTTGAGACGCCTAGTGTTTTTATTTCATTTTTATCACTTTTAGTTCATGTTTGTCTGTCAGAAGGGGTATCCCGAGGCAGCCTATCTGTCGATAGGGACTCTGGAGGCCCTCTCCGAGAAGCGTCTTGATGCACGTGTCAAGACATCGAAATGTGCTGGATCGGATATCACAGGCAAACTGATACACAGGGAAAGGCAGGCGCAACTGCGCGAATCTCATCGTGACACTGTCTCCTTTGCCTCTCAGGTCACGCCCGGGAATGTGACGTAACGCGATGCGTAATACCTAGGCATCTCTATCGGCATCACCATACGGGATTCAAGGGAGTCAAACCAAACGCCTTCGCTACCGGAGAGGTAGGGCATTGGAATGACGCAGGCTGCTTTAGGCACATCACATCCGGCGGCGCCGTGGCATGTCATCGTCCCAGCGCGCCGGAGGGCATGAGCGTGGCTCGAGCGTACGTACATTCACACCACCACGGCGGGCTCGGAGCAAAAGATGGGACGAAGCATGCGTGCAGAGCCGAGGCAGCAGGAGAACGCAAACGACCAATGGGCAGGCTTGTGGCCATGCAAGCCGATTGTAGCCTGCCTCGCATCATGACACAGCTGGAAGTGACTAGATGGCAAAAACCCGTCACAGGCCTGGCTGTGTCATCTGTGGCGTACCGGTAGCTGCGGGCTGCGTCACGAAACGGCTACGGCTTGGTTCAAGGTGGTGATCACCAGGGTTTGTTTCCAACATTGCAATAACTAGTAGGCGCCACCAAGCTAGTTTGATGGGCCATGGGTGCCGACGAGATGATGAATGATGCCCGTGCATGGCACAGGGCCGACAGGCCCGGGGTTTGTGAGGGTTTCACCGAGAACCGGTTCAACCCATGCTCTGCCTGCCTGGTCACCTTGAACAAGACATACGAAAGCGATGGTGACGGGGCGGCGAGCACCGCTCGATCGGCGTCCGGGCACATCTGGGTCTGGAAGTGACGATGCTCCACTTTACACTGAAGATTTGGTGGGGGTACGTTGCCATCGCGAGGTGGTGTTTTCTTTGGATTTCGCCCAACCTGTGTGTGGAATGCGAGATGATTGTAAAACGGCCGCTGAAACGGTGGCCACCACGGACCGTCCAGTGAGTGCCGGCAACACCAACCCCGAGCGCCAAGCGACCTTGGAAGAGAGGAGCCCATTTTTCCAGGCGGCTTCTGCAACAGGACCCTGAAAATTTAGCATGGTTAACGACCGAAGCGCCGATACGACCCGAATATGGGGTTTAATCTTCAAGACTCGTAGAGATCCCCGACCGATGCATCTCCAAGGGGCGGAAGAGAGAAATGGAGCCTCCGCCGAGTTCTTCCCGGGTCGGGCTTGCCTCTGTCAAAACAATGCAATGCGACCTGACCCAGATGAAGTTTGTTGAACCCCCCATTTTCTCTGAGCCTTTGTCTCTTGGTTAGACTCCCATGCCGGTTTCGATCGGGAACCTCCTGCACCTGCACTGCTGCTGCGGAGTTGAGCGCTTTCGGACGATCGCCAGACTCGAGGAGGACTGGAAAGGAAGCCCTCCTGCTGGAAGGGATGATGCGCCCCTCTCTCGATGGACCAAGCGGGCGAAAGAAAAATCATTCAGCACATGCGGCCAAGACTTCTCCTTGGCCCTCTTAACCGTGTCTGGTCAATCGCCGTTGGGGGGGCAGGGGTGATCGGGCGGTTGATGAATGCGACTGCGGTATATTTTCGCTTCCCACGTTTGAGCGAGCCCTGAAATTGAAAGGTTTGGACATGGAGAACCCCGCCATGGCAACGCGGTTGCAGATGGCCGCGCGGGGATGGCCTGTGTCCCTGCCCAACTCCGATTCTAGCCAGATCTTCAGAGCACCGGCCAGCCGCCGAGAAATCTCGACGCGCAGAGGACAGACAAGAGGGCCGAGCCCCCATTGGCTCTGGTTGCCCTGCCGTCCAGTGCTGGTGGATATGATAGGGTAACCACTCTCCCTTCCAGCGGGGCGGGCGTGGGAGCCCATCGGCTTGGATGAAGGGTACTCCTGCGAGACGGTTTGTGAAGCATGACACGTTCGTTCATGCTCCGGGGTTACGGAATCGTCGGTACGACTGGTGTATTCTGTCCCATGCTGGCAACGAGACCGGGAGGAAAGCAGTTGCCTACAGCCTGGTGGTGAGGGAAAAAACGTGTGCTGTCCACTGAACAGGTAGCCAGCATAGATAGTCTCATATTGCGAGTCACCGTTTCAGGCGGTGCGCCAATGGCCGCCGGAAGTCGGAGGTGTACATACATTACAGACCTCCAAACCCGGCTGCTGTGTTGTTTGGGGTATGGACCTGCCTTCGTTCTCCTCCAGAGAGGATGATGACTGCATGAGGGGCTTGCAGGTGGGAAGGCCGCGGGGGCAGGATCCTCCCCGTTCTCGATGGGACTGGATTGGTTTGGGGGCGAATAGAAACCCCGAGGCTGGCCTTTCTCACAAGCTGCAGCACAGCAATGTTGGACGCCACCTCAGAGAGTGTTCCCTGATCCGGAGTGCAGCATGCCGGAGAGAGGAGTCATCTGTCGTTGCCTTCCAACCGGGGCCATGTCGAGAGATGTGTTACTGTCTCCTTTTGCATGGCTGTCACTGGTTGTCGACTACACCGCCAGCTTTGCAGCCGAAGGGGCGGGTTGCCTGTTTTCGGAACGGGAGACACCCATCTTTTTCCACGCAATATGGAGACTCCCGATTAATCAGCGCCGGAAGCCGGCGAAGAAGTTGTCGCGCGTGGCGAAGAGGTCGGCCGGCTTAGAGGAAGGCGGTCTGGAACAACAACTGGCGACCGGGTTGTGCCACCTTGGAAACCTTTCCAACCTTCCTCAGGCCAACGCGCCGAGTCTGGTTGGCCGCCTGGGCTGACTCCTCCCAGGGCCGACGGGCCAACCAAGCCTCGAGCGGAGCCTCGAAAAGGCTGAGCTGGCCGGCTCAAAGGACTGGCATGCAAAGCAGGAGTGGCAGGTTCAGTGGGCTCAGTGGGCTCGCTCGCATGCAAATTGGGGTCACGAGCGGAGACGTGCCGCGAAGGCTGCGCCGAGCGGAGGATGAGAGAGGCAGAATCGTGGGCTCAAATTGGATGCGGGTTTTGTGTGCGCTGACTTGCCGATTGAATGAAACGGCGACGGGAAACTGGTGGGGGGAGGGGAAGAGATCCCACTGTCAACAAAGTGGGTGAAGCAAAGAAACGAATGAACGTTACGCAACACGCTTGACAAAAAACATCTGCTGCTGGGCGGCGCCTGCTTGCTCAATACCGCGTTTGGCGGTGCCTCAGGTTGCCGACTGCCAAGCTTTGGATCCTCTGCTGGAAATCAGCAGCACCTCATGGAGGTCCAGTGGAGTGAGTGAGTGGGCTTCCATGTTCTTGCCGGCCATCAACCGAACCCCGAGGATAGTCTCAGCGCAGTTCATGCCTGAATGCAGTCTGCGGGACGTCCGAACTGAAAGACAGCCCAGTCACTTCTCGAATCATCAGTCGGCGCCTTCGGGCGTGTTGGAGCGGCAAATAAGCACTCGCATCTGCCTGCGTGTCTCGAAAGGCGATCCGAGTCAACGGGTGGCCGCCGTTTAGCGGCTAGGAAGAGGGGGGGAGGGGGCGGGTGCTTCTTGTTTTCGGGGCATCTCCCGGCACCATGGTTCCAGTTGGCCTTGACCGCTTCCTTCAGGTGGCTAAGGTCACCCCGGAGTATCTCCCGTCTGGTTGGTCATGTGCAGCCAGAGCGGCCCTGCCTCTCCGATAGGCTGACCCAGCATCAGCAGAAGATGACCTGACCTGACCACACTCATTCCTTCAGTAGGCTGACCTGGGCCTGGGTTTGAGACTCTTGACTCGAGCCTCGAGTCGGTCGAAGAATCTTGAAAGGCCGGCAATTGTATTGGTTGGCATGGTTGGCTCAGACTGTTTCAATCTTTTCGCACCGTGCTTTGCGATGCGCTTGTGGTTTGTGGGTTGCGGCCAGATCTGCCCGCTGATTTGCGCTTCCAATGTGGAAACAATCTCAGAGCGTTACAATGTAACACGGGCTGTGGTCTGTTAGTTAGTGCGGAACTCTTGACAGCGCCCGTGTCCCTCTCCAGCTTGTGTACCAGCACAAACAAGCCCGAGGCCAGGATGACGGTGGATCCGACTTTGTTTAAACTTTTCCCTTTTTCTTTTTCTCATCTCGCTCTTGCGGAGTGATGTCCATCGGAGAACCAGAGGATCATCACTCGGATTTGGATTTGGCTGCTGTCCAAGATGACTGTGGCTTGAGGGGCTGGTGACCGAAGCCAATGAGAAGCATCACCGCCCTCGGCGGGCTCTCGAGGGGTGAAGGGGCTGTCTCTCGTCGCCTTTCTGGTTGCCGTCGCAGTCAACTGGGGTTGAGACCATCGAGGCTGCCCACTTTTTATTGAATGAGATACTTTGATCGAAACGTCAATCAGACGCAGGGTAATGGTCAACAAATTTCTCCCCGAGATTCCGCTTGAACCCCAACCCTTTTCGGATGGAGGAACATGTGTGTAGTGCAGGGTTTGGCCTGTTTTCAAAACAAGCTGATCTGATCTTGGAAACATGAAATGGAGACCGAATTGCAGAGTTTGCTCTAGAAAAAAAAAAAAAAAAAAGGAGCCAGTGAACTAACAATTTTCGGCTTGCCGAGGCAATCTTTTCAATATTCAGAAAACGAGCCAACCCAGCCCTGCGGGCTCCCACTGCTGGTTTAGTTTTTATCGTCTCGAGATGTGGTCGTTCCTCAAAACACGAAAACACACAGCAGCCGGACCGGGGCGGTGGGGGTGCGGACGAAGAAGGCTGGCATTTCACCCACGCCCGTTTGGACCCACTCACTTCCATCCCCTGCTCCCTGTTTTTGGTTACCCGTTCATCATGTGGAACCCCTTGGCACCCTCGTTTTGACCGCTTGGCGGAAACTGGCCACCCTCAAGATTTTTTCGAAGACTCGACAGCGCTGATGACCCCCGTCATTTCCGTCATCCTCTCCCGTTACCCTGTCACCTTGTTCACCCCCAAATTCCCATTCCATGATACAGAATGCCACCGTTTCTGAAATTGCCGTGCAGAAGCTCAGCGTTTCCCTCACCGTAACCATCAATGAACTGAAGCGGGAACGCGTCTTTCGAGGGACCTGCGTGTTGCATACCATACCAAATTCTGTACAAGCCTGAATTCAGTCTTTGTGACAGTGATTGTTCCATTTTCCTGTTCCATCTTGACTCACGCTTCAAGTCCCAGTCTCACTATCCATCCTTTCCAACTTCCAACAAGTATTAGCAGAGGCCTGGGTTGACTTGTTCGGCGACCGTGCCCGCCTGTGCCGGGTCACCCATGTGTGGGCCCTTGGTCATGTCACTAGCGAAAATCGCCTGGGTTCCTCGCCCCATCCAGCACTGATCCACTCATTACCGTTACCCACCCTCGAGCCACCCTTCCAGGCCACTTGATCGCTGCTCCGCAAACGCATTCCGTTCTTTTTCCCTTCTTCCCCTTCCACCTCCCGTCCTCCACGACGTGCTCTCTCCTCCTCCCCCTCGACCATCGCTGAATCCGCCGAGCATCGAGCGACCGACGAGCGGCCAAATTCATTTTTGTGTCGTTCATTAAAAGGATTCGGATATTCGTCGCCTTTCGTTGACTCGAACGGAGACAGAAAAGCAGTGCCTGCGCGAGCGGTTTTTCCGATCTGGGTGCTGTTGTGCCTTTGGTTATCACCATCGACGCAACCTGGAGGACGCCCACCAGTCCACACAAGGAATTGCATGGTCTTCCAGCGATTTCTACGAGGTTCGTATTTTACCCCTTCCCTCTTTTTTTTTAGCATGGCATTCGACCCGGCCGAGATTCGCACGACGCAAACTGGGGCGCGACTGGAACCGTTCATCATGTTTTGACCCCGTCAACACTCGACTTTCGACGCGACTTTCGACTCCGCGTCGCCCAATCTTGGTTTCCCCTGGCGCCGCCTTCCGCCTACGCGTCGATCGTATTTTTCCGAAGCATATTTGTCAATTTGATCTCGACTTTGCCGATACGCGCCGTGCCAATCCAGCCGCCTTAGCTTGAACCTGGGAGTCTCGACGGGCAGGATGCCATGCGCCGCATCGCCGACCGGATGGAAATGAGCTAACGGTGATAACATAACAGTTCTTTAGACGTTCCTTTTCGTATCTCCTAATCCAGCACGACTTCTCTCCGTCGACTTTCGACATACGTTCAACCGGCCGGCATTGTCTGGACGAACAGGCTCTTGTTCTAGGTCACCTGCAAAGAGCCACCAACTCCCTCTTTGTGTGATTTTTGACATTTCAAAAAAGGCTCTTGGAGTTGCTCCGTTCTATTGCAACCTTTCCCCTGTGTAGACGACAAAACCTACACTCTATGGCTCAGCCGTCATACTAGATCCCGACTCCCCTCGCCCTTCGAGATCTCCCGACTCTTCAGCTCTGGAAGCACCGGCACGGCGTGGATATCCCCCCCGCCCAACTCGCCCTCCAGCTGCTCGAAGCAGTTCGTATCTCTCATCGTCTACCCGATCCCCAGAACCGATTCAACAGCCGCCAAAATGCCTGGTGGCGTATGTGCCGTGCTCGACTATGAAGTCGAGCCCATGGCCGACTATGTCTCGGAGATGGCAACCCGGATCGTGATGCCCCAGCGCCAAGTCAACCCAGCTTTCCGAAAGTTTGTGTCCCAGATCTTGACCTCGACGCGTCTTCCCAGCACCACCATTCTTCTTGGCATGAACTATCTCGCCAAGCGCATCAACATGATGCATGCCGCTGGGCAGACAAACCACACCGAGGGTCAGATATGGCGCATGCTCACCATATCATTGCTTCTCGGGAGCAAGTTCCTGGACGACAACACGTTCCAGAACAAGTCTTGGTCGGAAGTGAGTGGCATCCCGGTCCAGGAGCTGAACACTCTGGAATACGAGTGGCTAGGCGCTATTCAGTGGTGCCTCTATGTCAATCTGGACGGGAGCAAGGACTACCAGGCCTGGCTGTCGAACTGGAAGGAGTGGCAGGAGACGAAGAAGAGGCAGCAGCAAGCGAGCCGCGACCGCCTGGCCGGCATCGTGTCGCCTGTCGAACCCGATATGGCGCGGTCTCGTGCCCAGCAGCTGTACTCGGCCTGGCACCAGCAGCAAGTGGCCGAGTACGAGCGCTTGTCTGGCTCGAAGCGCAACCAGGCGCCGCCGACGACCTCGTTCCGGCACGACCCTTCGCCGTGGGCGTATTCGCTGGCCTCGTGGTCGCAGGCTGCTCCACTTACGCCCCCCGACTCGGGCTACGGTACTCCGGAGTACGCTAACTCGACCGCGCTCGCCAATTCGAACTATGCGGAATGGTTCGATGGCGCATTGGTTGGCAACAACAGTTCGAGACATTACCAATCCCCGACCTACGGCGGCTTCCGCCATGGCAACCATGCCTCTCGCAACCCCGGCAGTTATGGTAACTACTATGGTTACGGCCACAACATCTGGGAGCACCCGGGTGTTGCGGACTGCAACTGCGGCAGCTGCGGTGGCCTACACAACAAGGCTCCCGGCTACTTCGGCGGCCACGGCTACAGACAAGCCGTTGTTGGTTAATGGGACCGCCCATCGGCCACGTCATTGGGTTGATGAATCTATCGGCGCGTTCAGGCGTTCTTGCTGCCATCTTTTGATTGGGACATTCCACGGGGCACGGTTCTGCCCTTCCCTCGCATCGCTACCTGGACCCAGGTTTCATTCAGGGCACATCAGAGATTCGATACATTTGCATTCAGATACCCCGAGCGACCATCCGGACAGGAGAGACCGTTCGGCCATGTCGAGCGCCATGGTTCCCGGCCTCAACACCCGAGCCTGTTGGCCTGCCTGGTTCCTGTTCGTGTGACAGGTTCCATGGACGGCCCTGTCTCCCCTCATTTCGATCACTGGTCGAACTAGTCATCTCGACTATGAGATCCTTTCAGTATACCGGTCCCTACATACATAAATCGCGTTTTTGGGTTTAAATACCATCGTGCTTTTCTTGCGGGTTTTCATCATAGATTCGGCGAAACGGTTTTTTTTTCCGGCACTTTCAAGATTTTCAGCCTGCTCCACCATCTTGGGGCTTGGGCCGAGTGGGCCTTTTCGGCAACAAGGGCGACGACTGTTGGTAGGGAAGGGCTTAAGGGTTTTCGAACCCAACGCTTCTTGTTTGGCCAATGGTTGGTGCCCCCACCACTTGGTTCTTTTCATACAAGACGATGCTTTATGGGCGGCCACATGTCGACAAAAAGCGGCGGCACCTTTTTGCTCACGCCACCCGAGCTACCGGGGCAGTCGTGCAGCTTGGGTGTGATTCAAAAAACCCTTCAGTTTTGCCGAGGTATTTTTTTTTTTCATCAAAAGTTTGCCGGGTTCACAAGTACATATCAGGTGCTATTTCCATGGGCACTAATTGCTTTGCGTGGGATTCGGTCATGAGGCTAAAAAGTTGGACTTGCGATCGCCGCTTTCCCCTTCTCCACAGTTTTGTTTTCCCCTTCTCTGTGTGGTTTGGGGGGCATCATGTTTTCTTATTCTCTTTGTCTATCCAATTTCCCTTCTGATTTCTATATCGGCTCAGATTCGCTCAGCCATGCCGTTTTTGTGGGGGGAGCTGGTCGTTACAGCTCGTGGTCAAGACAGATTACCACTCACCCTCCAGCTGACATAGCGGATGGCCCCCTGACCTCACTTGATGGTGTGGCTAGAGGGATTTGTGGGTTCGCGGCTCTTTTTCTGGTAGAGGTGGCGGATTTGGGGGGGACGAGGAGGGGAAACAGTGGGCAGCCCTTTTTTTTCGTGTCCCTGTTTCGGAGTTTTTTTTGGGGAGCTATCGCCGAGAGGGATGAGGCTTCCTTTGTTTTTTTACATTACCTCGCATTACGACTTGACGAGCTTGGGGGTCCGAAGGACAAGAAGATGGATGACTTGAGATTGGGATGTTAGGGTAGGAGTGTATGAAGTCTGGGGTTTGGCGATTGGGAAGAGTGGGCGAAATGGAAGAGGTTGGGTTTGCCATGGCTTCCTTTTTCGACGGACATGCTGCAGGGCCTGGACTTGGTAGAGGATCGGGTGCCTCGGGCATGTCTCATTGCCGACACGATTGCCCAGCGAAGGCTGTGTGTGGTCTTGGTCATGGAACCAAACCAACCTTGATACAAAAACGATAAAAATTGAAACTAATCTCATTGAGTGGTACCTACAACGTGGTGCGTGAAGTGATTGTGTTTTGAGAAATGCGTTGAGCAGGGAGCGGCATGATTCTTCTGAGTGCTGTTAGTTAGGCAACATGTTGATTTTTGGTAATGTAATGAGACAATGGTTGAAGACATGAACAAGCCCAAAGCTTCACTTGGCATTGGGGAAAGTGCTTGGGTGGGGCCAGCTCTTCTGTCTGTCACTGGCGGCTGTCAGCAACCTCGCTCTTTGTTTTGACTTGCCCTTCACTGCCCTGGTCTGAATGAACCTGATGGTGGGAGGAAAGAGGTGAAGAAAAACCTAAACCACCAACAATTTACCGGCAGCACACGCTCAAGATTTTATCTTTGCCGATTGGCACATTTTCTTTCCTTTACTTCCACTGCCCGGGTCAAGCAAACCTCGCAATCGGGTGAGAGCACTGCAGGAAAACACTTGTTCAAAACTGTACTCTCTTCAACATTAACCAACCCCATCGACATCCCCTTATTCCCTACAGACCGTCATTCGCGGAGAAACACTACCATGTCCTCTCCGTTTTCGTCTCCGCCGGCGCCATCAACGCCGCAACAGGCGAAGCCGCTCTACCCTCCAACCCCAACAACCCATTCAACAACAAGCACATCACCACCACCCAACAACCACCACCACGCGCCACTACCACCCCCCAACCTCCCAACCCCACCCCCAAACAAGACGCCTGGGACCGCCGCCATCGCCCAACTCGAAGCCGACCGCCGGCGCCGCGAGGAGGACCCGCCAGGTCCGACAACTTCCGCCAATCAGCCCTCG